TGTTCAAAACAAACTTAAAGATTTCACATCAGCATCCCAAAGTGAAATCCAATAGCTAAGGATTTAAACCTCTTGACAGCGTTTGTTGACTTCATCGGTGATTACATTACATTACATGTCATTTGTTAGATGCTTTTATCCAAAGCGACTTACATACATTCAGTACTGTGGACAATCCCCACAATTTGGGGTGAAGTGTCTTGCCCAGGGACACAATGACATGCTGACTGCAGTGGGACTCGAACTTGCTATCCCCTGATTCGAAGTCCAGCACTCTATCCACTGAGCCACAGCCGGTGATCAGACTAATTCAATCGAAGTCCATTTCTATGTCAGGCTTTGCACGCTGGGGAGGGTCGATGAGTCATATGCTATCATTTAGCTACCATGATGATTTCATCTTGCTTCGTTTTAGCCTGACAGGTCACCACCTGGCCGAAACCAGAGCAGTGATTAAATTAGCTATGATGTATCAAAATGCAGCTCACGATGTAACCAGGTTTAAAAACAGAAATGAGGGTGATCTATCTACAATTTGCAGGAAATTATGTGTGTTTATTCTTCATTTCTTCGTCGATCAGTGGAAGATTACGGTGCCTGAAGGCGAGAGGGTTCGACTGACCTTTACCTCCTTTGACCTGGTCCCTGAGGTCTGTGGAGACTTTATTAAGGTCTACGACGGGCACGAGGCCGGCTCTTCCTTAATCAGTAAGCATGACATTATACATGTATCCAGTATGCAATGAGGATTACAAAAGCTTTGCATGCATGAGATGGACAGGGGTTTTAAAACAGGCCAGCTCTAAAAGTCTATGGACATTGATAGCTGTACTTTCCCCCTTTTTTCCACCAGTTATTTTTACTTTGCTTTGAAAGATCTGTCTTTTATATTTCATTAATTGCTGTTACTGTATCATACTTTAGCAATTTATTTTATTTTATTCCTGTTTCAAGGATTTGCTGTATGTGCCGCACTGTTGTTTGTAAGTTTGTTGTGTTATACCGTATACCACAATATCTTCACAAATCAGCACACACTATGTCAAAGCTGGGTTATTATAATGCAAAGGAATATGATAGGATTTCAGTTCAGACTGTGGCCTTCGTTCAACATTAGCAATGTCAACTTTGCGGGCCCATGAATAAAAGATGTGCTCAATTAAAAGTTTGAGACTTGGTAGAATGAGGTTCTGGGGTCTATTTTAAACTTAATGAATGAAAGTCTCTCTGTTGCATTAATTCATTGTCAATTATCTAACTTGAAATGTAGGGATGTGTTCTGTTATTGCACAAGCCTCTGTGATTATCATTCTCTTTTCAACTATTTGAATACACATATAATCCATCAAAGGTAAATTATGTGGGGGGACGATGCCGAAGCCAGTTGAGACCAGCGGCAACACAATGGTGCTCCGCTTCAAAACGGACAACAGTTTGACCTCTAAAGGATTCAGAGCGACTTTCACCAAGTCCAGCCTCCCACCTGTTTCTACCACCACACCCAAACCCTCAACCACCACCACACAAACACCTCCACCTTCCACAACTTCTGGTAAGCATTCACCCCAAAATGTTATGTTTACTTTTTCCTCAACGCTTAAAATAAACCACCCATATTTACTCATAATTCAATGATCAACCTACCCTTTCCTGCATGTCTATATTTGGATTTGAGTTTAAATTAGGGCAGTTGAAATATACCAGTATAGATGATAATGGTCATATAACAAAATAAATGTTGATATAGTTTTAAAGGGGCCCTATTATGTTTTTGGGGGGTTTTCCCATTCCAATAGTGTGTTATATCGTTTTGTGTGCATGTCAATGGTCTGCAATGGCCAAAATCCCAAAGTTCCCTCCAGATGAAGTTGTTTACTTTCGGGACATAATGACATCACTACGTAACATTCGCTCTTATATTGGCTAGCACTACAACACATTGTATTGGATATGTTAAGGGGGGGGGGGACATCTCTAAGCGGTTGACCAATCACGAGCGATCTGGTCAGCTAACCAATCAGAGCAGACTGGTCTCTGGTTTTAGACAGAGGGTGAAAAGAGGTGCTGCAGCACAGGCAGTATGAGAAAAATACAGACCTTTTTGAACATTAAAGAATGTCATGTCACCAAAGAGGCACAAAATAAAAGATTTGAACGTAAAAATGTGTCTAATAGGGCCCCTTTAATTAGACAGATATGATCAAATACTGTAATCCAGCGCCTAAATGTTTACCCTCCACATTCCTACACTCATATTTTATTGTGGTATTCCTAGTTGAAATATACAACAGCAGATATATTTAATTTTCTCATTAACAATTAACATCATCAATATAAATGTTGCTTAACCAACCTCTCAAATCAATTGTCAAAAACAGCTCTCATTATTCTTTAGTTGACTTCCGAAATACTAATCCCAGGTTTACACTGTTGCACAATGAACTATAATATCATTCCTCTGTGCTCAGTTGATCTATGAGGGTTGTTTACGGGCCAATGAGAGCTTGTTGATACACCTTATATAACTGTCATGCCTCGACGTGCATTTTCCCCTGCAGCTCTAATCAAGCGACAGCTACCAAATAAAGACAAATGCACGTAGCTCTGTGCGAAGGAGTGGGGAGATCCCCCTGGGGTTTATTTATTCATCACTGCATTTAAGCCATTGGCAGACAGACTGCTTCTCTCCAGTGACTAATTAAGGTACTACATAATGATCTTGTTAATGGGGTTAGTTTTGTATCAAAGCAAGCTGGTCCCCGTCAACTGTTAAACCGAGCGGGAATAATCACTCTTTAAGATGCTCGGACAGAAAACACAGCTTTTGTTTTCTGTTATTTTGCAGGAGGTGATGGTCCAGTCATTATTCAGGGGCGTAAAGGAGAGATCCATTCCCCGGGTTATCCAAATGCATATCCTGCTCATCAAACGATCTCCTGGAAGATATCTGTGCCCAAAGGATTCCTGGTAAAACTGCAGTTCACTGACATGGCCATCACAGGAGAGATCGGACAATGCAAGGAGGACAAACTGGTCATCACAGATAATTACAGCACATTAGGTGAGCCAGAACTTCATCTTTCACTCATTTACATCAATTACCCAAGCTTTTTTTCTCTCTTGTTGTTCTTATCTTTTATAATGTTCTGTAAGTTGTACATCCTTATCTGTTTGCCTTTAGTTTACTGTTTTGACTCCCAAATCCAGCCTATATCATTTTAGAAAACCGGTGCTCTATCGGCCATATCTGTATCTTGTGAAGCCTGAATATCAGCCCCTACAGAGTGAAAGCTATAAACTCCCCTTCTTCTACAATTATACTTCGACTGACGACAATTAAGCCTCTTCGAAAACTGACATTTATTTTTTTATTATTTCATTTTATACAGTCCTCTAAGTGACTTGAAATGTGACAATGAATCCACAGATAATCTAAACTACCATACATCTGCATGTAACTGTAGATAAATAAATGAAAAAACAGCTTACAAAATATAAAAAGTGTTTGTTCCATGCAGTTTATGTTAAAATGCACTGCTAAGAGTATTATTTTATTATGCTATATTATATTAGCAATAAATATGAGAGCTCTGACGTTTGTTGCACCTTGCTGGAATAACAGCTCGTGTACAACAGTTTCTGCCCCCTGCTGTAAAACTGTTGATTATGATCTTTGCTAACACCTCAGCCAACTATAAATTACCTCTCATTATTCACTTCACTCGCTGCAGTGATACCGCTTTATCTATTGCTGAGTAAAGCACTGAGGAACAATCAAACAAAGATACAAAAGGCGATAAGGAGGTTTGTGTTTATATGTGAACTGAAAAGAGAAATGAACAGCAACAAGGGGTCTGTTTTGAAAACCCGATCAGCTTAAAAAATGTGATCCAAAGATCCCTCAAAGCAAGACTATGTCATTTATGGGAATGGCACAATAATCCTTGGCTAATGTTATTCTAAACGTTTATTTAGCTATAGAAATAACTGGCATCTTGCATTTGAATCAAGCTGTAAAGTGAATAAAATGTGGAAGTGCATTTTTAGTCTTCAAGTCTTCTTTGGCCACATCAAAGTTAAAGGTGGGGTAGGTAATTCACTTCAGAAACACTTGTTGTTATATTCCATGGAATGCTCTTAACATCCCGATAGCAATGAATACATTAAATGCTTTGACAATAAATACATACAAAAATGTAATCTGTGGAAGCCGTGGCGCTGTAAAAAGCACGACCAATCATCTGAGCCGGCCCGGCTAAAATAACTGGATGGCCTACCTGCCTGTCAGCCTTCCATCTGTGCACAAACTTATCTCGTGCCCTCATTGGTCATGTGCGCGTTCGTGTGTGTTGGAGGAGGGGCTCTGTAAGGAAGTCTGAAGGAAGGGGCAGATTTTTGTCGGTTGCGTACTTTCAAATTTCAGCGCACTCGAGCTGGTTTCTCCATTCTTACCTACCCTACCTTTAACTTTGTAAATAATGGTCCTATTAAAAGTGGCGACAAATCAAGGCATGCTTTAGGACATTGATCCCTTGTTACTACCGGTCTAGCTATCACTGTTGTTCAGTTTGGGTGTTTCAGGTCATCGTCTTTAAACTTGAACCCTTTCACTGTGTGTTTTCAGTCCATGAAAGTTAACTTGAAAGACTTTGGTCGGCCTAAATATGTTTGGCTGTGCTTATCTTAACCCCCTCAGGTCAATTCTTGTTCCCAAAAAAACAAAATGGCGACGGCAAAAATACCAAACTTGAGGCTTCAAAAACGTAGTCCACAAACCAATAGGTCACTTTATGGTGACAACGTCCACTTGTTCTTTACAGTCTATGATTTTATTTGCATTACATGTCTGTTAAAAACAGTACCAGTTTGGGGTTGGGCTTCTTTTGTGTTCATACGCTCTTGGTAAGAACATTGTGTTCAGTATCTCTGATGAAGTCACACTCACAGAGAGTAAAGTCAACTTTATTTGTCAGTGTCCTTGTGTTCCCATCCATCAACAAGAAACACACCCGACCCACTCATCCTCACTAATATACGGGGCTTACAGTATTCACCACTCTAATCTCTTATCCGTCTTGGTACCATCACTTATATTGCTGACTCTACATCCTCCATTTACCTCCATCTTTAACCTCCGCCCTCCCTCTCCCTCAGGCACACACTGTGGCTACCTTCTCCCCCCCTTGGTGGTCAGTGCCAGTGACACAATATCTGTCAGCTTCACGTCGGACAGTCGCCTCACAGACCGAGGGTTCTCTGCGAAATGGGAAGCTGTGTATCCTGAGGATATTGCAGGTACCAAGGACTTACACACACATGAAGACACACACATAGAGACACACTCACACCTGAGACACATTCACACCTGAGGCACACAGTGCTGAGGTAGCTCAACACCTCGTTATGATCATAAAACCTCACACCTCTGTCACATATTTACAAAACCAGCATTGTGTAAGCAGTGTGGAGACTGTGAAAGCACAGGTCAGAGTACAGTGTGAAGCATTACAAGATAAAAAGCTAGATTAAAACCCCCTTGATCCTTTTCTTTATCATGATTATCAGCTAAATAATTAAAGATACCATGTTGTGCAGAGGTGCGACAAGGTCTTGAATTATAAAGACTTTGTTCATACTTCAATGCAGATATTGCTAGTTTTCAACTCTTGTCCCTGGTTAGGCTTTTAAATGTACTTTGTAATTTAAATATAGAGCATGCAGGATAATAAAATCACGCCACACATTGAATGTAGAAATACAATAAAATAGACACTCCACACAAGAAACACAACACAATGCCGAAATACAAAAGCATATTTCTTTGGTGATTTACAGTAAATGTGTTTAAAATGGGTCAAATCTGGTTTGCTTTGGGCCAAGATACAGAGGTGAACTTAAATCCGTAAAAAAATTAATTGGCAGATGATGAACCTATAAAAATGCATAACCGCAGTGTCCAGGAGATGAATCCTAATCACTTTGACGACCCTGTGACTTCATCTAGGAATACCAATGGGTTTAATGCTAATACTGTTTCTTGAACTTCTGTTTTTATATTGTCACGCTGCAATTTGTTACTCAAAACTATTTCTGTCAATGTTTCAAGGAAGATACTGTAATTCATCTACATTTATCTCATTACAATCAACCATTAATTACTCCCTCGTCTTTTTGCAGAGATCCAGGGCTGTGGCCTTTTTTCCAGAGCGCCGACAGGAGTTATTAAGTCCCAGAACTGGCCGATGAACTACAAAGCCAACGCAGAGTGCATGTGGAACATCGATGCACCTGTGAATAAAAGAATCACCCTGCATTTTACCCACTTTGACCTGGAAGCCAAAGATTTCATATCGTCCAAATGCTATGATAACATAGTAGTGTTCGACATGAATAGTGGGACTAACGCGCTCATTCAAACACATGGTACGTTTATTTGTAAAATCACAACATCATCCCAAAACCATTTATCATTTTTATCACATTGGAATCAAAGTAATGCCAACTCAAAAATGTATTCAACCAAATTAAATCCTTAGTAACAAAACTGTTACTGTGTCAGCTCATCTTCTCTTCTCCAGTGTATTGTATTATCTCTGTGTCACTTGTATTTGTAATGAAAAATATGCTTTCAATACATTTTAGGTCCATTTTGTGGGACTAAGCTGCCTGCAACTATCCTGACAAAAAGCACCAGGCTGGTGATCCGTTTCCATTCAGACTTGTTTACCGAGTCTAAAGGCTTCAGGGCCTACTGGACAATAGACCCCAGTTTGCCTGCTCCCACTGAGCCACCAGTACCAGCCAACCCCTGGGATGACATCGCCATAGGTAGAGTATCTATTTCAGCCTCATAAAGCTACAGTAATATTAACAGAGCCTTTTAGACTCTTTTACCGCATTGTTTTGGTTTCTGGTTGCTCTAATCAACCTCTTTACCAAACACAGCTGGCAGCTTTCATCTCAAAAGCTTTGATAAACTGATGTTACTATACTTACTCAGCACCAAACAGCAGACAGATCAAGTTAGCAACTAGCGAGTGAACATACTGTTCCTTAGCATTTAGCTGCAGGTCTGCATGGATATTTTGTCACGCACAATTCTATATTGAAGCAGGATATCAGACACAAAAAAACATTTAGTATGTCCCAAAAGATAGTACAGTATGTCAATTGCGGTATGCAAATAATATATCCGGATGTCCTCCTGCATCTGGTTGCACTTTGCAGTATCGAAGCCAGCATACTTTTCTGGTTATCCTGACCTATAGCCTTTGCACCGGAGATATATGAGCTAGAGGTCCAAAGTTCAAGGTCCAATGTTATGACGAAGTACTGTGCCCCAATTGTATGCTAACTGCGTGCAGCAGTACTTACTCTGTAAAGCCAGCTGCAGCACATACTCAAATAAAAAATCAGCCATTGTTTTTCTGATCTTTAACCTTGCCCCTAAGTGGCCAAAAATCAAAGAAGGCCTCTTAAACATTGAGGGCTTATTTGGAGACTGTGCAGCATACTCAAGCTAGTTCCAGCATCATTTCCTTTGTTATGTAACCCTTTTACATTACATTTCATGGACTGAGCTACTAATTAATTAATTAACAACAACAGACTCATCATACAGAAAATAATAGCTAGTTGCCTTAATATTGCCAGATCTCAGGTGTGGTATTTTTCAACAAAACAACATGTGTTTTATGTGCTAAATGTGAAATATTATATTGTATATCTATCATTTAACTTAACGTTTGGATCCCCTGATCTCTCCAGTTATGTTATACTGTCTCTGGTCAGCAGAGCTGTATATTTAGTCTCAATGACCAACATTTAGTTTCAACAGCTTCTTAGAAACTGCACAGAGACCTTCTTTATATTTATCTGATTTACGCTTCCTTCCATCTCCCCCTTGCTGTGCTCAGATGTGCAGTAAAACAAGGTGTTATCATGTGCTGAGAGCACAATGTGAAGTGTCCTGGTGCTTTACTTTTTCTTCTGCTGTCAACCGATCCTCATTCTTCATGCAGCGTGAGCCCCAGGTGGCCCGGGCCATTTGCTGAAATAGAGTTTTATAGATGGACTCTGCTCTGCTGCCTCTGGGTTCTATTTCCACACAGACTCTTACTAGAGATTCCCTGCATGTTCGGCAAATGAAGACACATAGACCAAGAGAGAGAAGGGGGAAATGTGGGTGATTTGAACAACTTGTCAACTCCTTTTACGACCAAAGGAAACTTGTTCTGATGTAATGATGTCAAAGAGTCTAGCCTGAAAATGCTGATTTATTTTTTTCAAAAGTCCAATTCAGGAGCCATTTTGTGTTTGCAGCAGTAGTATGGTATTATGTTTGCATGATAAAACACTGAATTAATACATTTCTGCACACTAGTAGATTAGTGAAAGCCAAAAATGAGGGACAGTACTACTGTCAGCCTGGTGTGATTTGAAAAAGTATTTACACAAATAGGAACAGCTGTAGAGCAGAAGTGCCAGTGATTGGAAGCCACAGTACTATCTGTAAGCTGCAGATATGTTCTCTATTCAGGCTTTGTTGATACACAATCAACACCACAAACATATGAATACATGCACAGACAACCAGACAAAGGATAGATTACAATGTTGTATTTCCTATTTCCTAGAGTGGCCCCCATGTGGGATACCAGCCACCCCTCCTTCTGTTACGTCTCGCATTGTGAACGGAGAGCCCGCCACGCCTCACTCCTGGCCCTGGCAAGTGTCCATGCAGGTAAAAGTCTGACGTAATAAAAGCAGAGATCTTGCATCAAGATTAATTCATTTACAGCGTGTAATATCAGTGAATACAAAAGGGCACGTTCTAGTACAGCAGGGTTATGTTGATAATTTATAATGTGACATTAAATAGGAACTTTCTTTATCTCTCATTAATAATTGACTGATTGCACTGATATGTGTTTCCAAATCTGACATTATTACATTGTGAGTATGCAAATGTATTTTTTTTTTTTTCAGGTCTGGCCGGCCAGTCGCCCAGAACCCACTTTCTTCCACACCTGTGGTGGTACTCTGATTCATAAGAACTGGGTCATGACAGCAGCCCACTGCTTCATAAAGTAAATGTTCACTTTAATCTATATCACATGAACAATATTTTTTACAGGAATGTTAAAGCTGAAGCTCCCATTTAATTGCTTTTCTGTAAAGTTTTTCTCAAACTTCCAGGCTTTTCTAATTGCAGAAGGGAGTTGCAGTTGCCTGTGCTTTTACCTCAGGCTTCAAGTGCAAAAGCAATGCTTGTTAGAGATGCCCCAATGCCTTGGCTAATGATCTACTGAGATACTGGTGCAGTAAGGTGCCTTTAGGGACTATATAGATTCTGGCTGTGAGCAAGGATGAATGCAAGGTTATGAACGTAAGTTAGTGTCCAAGAAAGTGAAATGGGGAGATATATTATGCGTTTTGCGATTTTAACTTTCCTGTATTGTGTTATACAGTAAGTGTGTGTAAATGTTCTGACATGGCTTAAATGCCCAAATCTTTGTCGCACAATCTTCCCCCCAGGCCTGAAATGCCTCCATTGGACTCCTTTGTTTACTTCCGTAACATAGTGACATCACCAGTCCCATACAAATTAATTTAATTTCAAATCATATGATACTGTTAATTTGTTATGCAATTATTTAAGTTCAGTTTCCTGTGAAGTATTATTTGGTCCATAGACATGTATCTCAAGCTGCCCAGTGTTTTATTATAATCTGTCAGGTATTGCTATTGATTAATCTTCTGATTTCCTCCCCAGCTATGCGGACGAGCTGCAGCGTTGGAACATGTGCCTTGGCAAACACAACCTGACCTTCACAGAGCCGAGTCAGCGCTGCTTTAATGTGACTGGTATCTATCGCCACGAGGGCTTCAAGTATCCCACAGTGCCCACGGTGGAGTTTGACATTGCCCTGGTCAGGTTGGATGGAGATGTGACTCCCAGTAATGAGATCTCCTTCGCCTGCCTTCCCTCCGTGGAGGAAGTCCTGCCTGCAACAAAGAAGTGCTACGCCACCGGCTGGGGAGATGAGACCGGTGCTGTTCCTGCTTGTTAACTCTTGATTTATTTACTTAATTTATACAATAATATACAACCTGAGGGGCAGTGATTGAATGTACCTAAGGACATTTACATAATTAATGTCTGTACTTTTACTGCCCTACATTTTGGAAGCCAATTCACCACATTTATATGACAACAAAACCTAGAGGTCACTTTATCGATACAATATATAACAAACTAATAGGTTATGATGGTTTATTATGGATGGAGATACAACTATTAATCCTGTGGTGAAATTCGGCAGATAAAAATAGCTATATTTGATGTAACCCCCATCCTTATGCCTTGAATGCTTGACATAGAAAATGTACCAGCAGTATACTTAGTAAAAACATACTCCACCTTTGTCAGTGATAATACAATAGTGTAATATTTTTTATTCTTAAATAGTTAATGCTACATAATGATTACTATTGATTTTTTAACTTAAAGTATGTTTTGATGCTGACACTTTTGAACTTTTAAGAAAATAATTAAGATTTTAAATGATTGTTGCATTGTAGTTTTGCTACTTTTGTACTGTTCAGGAGCCAACCCTCTTAAGTTAAAACATAATTGTTGCATAGTTTGCATGCCCTCTGCTGGACCTAATGTGCAAATACCTCTCGTGTGTCCTTAGTGTTTCATGTTTTCTTTTGTAACAATCGAAATGGTTTTGTGTGATATTCAGGTGATTCAATGAATGCTAAAGTTGCTGAGGCTCTTAACCAGGTGGCCCTGCCTGTTGTGCCGTATGATACCTGCAAGAGGATGGACTACTGGTGGTTCCAGGTCAAGACCTCCATGATCTGCTGCGGGTACACCCTGCCTGATGAGCTCCAGTCTGTCTGTCAGGTAACACAAATCCTACAAGAGATCAGCACTAATATATGATATAATAATACTTTTTATATAGCACCTTTCAAAACTACTGTTGCTTTACAAACATGGACAAAGTTAAGATAGCACTCAATTACAAAATCACTGTCAACCAGTAAAAATAACATATAAAAAAGCTCAAATTAAAGTAATCAAAATAATAGATAGAACTGCAGTACATGACCTTTGTGAGGCAAGGCCAGTTTATGTATATAGCACATTTTAAAAACAAGACAAGTTCTTTACAACATAAAATCATAAAGACAAGAAAAAAGAAATAAAATATAAAAAGACAATTAGATACATTTAAAAAGAGAATCAGATAATACAACTAAATAAACCAAATAGAATAGGACAGGTTTAATACACAAGAATAACAGGATTTACATAATTCTGATCCTCAATGAGATGACAGTTCTTGCACACATGATATGGATGCTGATTTGTGACTTTGACAGGGAGATTCTGGAGGTCCTCTGGTGTGTCAGGACACCGCCGGTGCTCCCTGGGAAGTTCATGGTATCACCAGCTTTGGCCCTATTGGATGTATAATGAATAAGAAGCCCTCCGTGTTCACCCGCTCCTCTGCATACATCCCCTGGATTGGAAATGTCATCCGCAGAGACCTATACAATCAGCACAGTAAGGATCCAGCTGACCAACTTTCATCACAAACTTAACATGGTACAAAGGCACATTTTATTACTGAGTTTCACCTTCTGTCCTCCCCATGTAGCATCTGGCTGTGGAGGACCAAAAGACCTGATTGGCACCAACGGCATTGTGTCCTCGATGGGTTTCCCTGGCAACTACGACAACAAAGCACGCTGCGAGTGGACCATCCAGGTGCCCGAAGGCCAACTGGTCCACCTGCATTTCAGCAACTTCTCCCTGGAGGAGAGTCAGCTGTGCCTGAATGACAAAGTCAGCATCAGAGACGGAGTAGGAAGTCTGGGTAAGTAAATATGTTTTCTCCACAGGTGATGGGACTGAGTCATTCATTCATTCATTCATTCATGGGATTCCTTTGCTTTATGTTACACAGCAGTCAATGGATTTTAAAGTTATTTATTTCACGTTTTTATTTTTAAATGAATGTAGTATTATAGTTACATTACATGTCACTTGTTAAACACTTTTATCTAAAGCGACTTACATACATTCAGTACTGTGAGCAATCCCCACAGGAGCAATTTGGGGTGAAGTGTCTTGCCCACGACATGCTGACTGCAGTGGGACTCGAACTTGCTATCATCTGATTCGAGGATCAGCGCACTAATCCACTCAGCCACACCCTCCCTCCAGTTGTACTGATTAATGTATTTATATTTTACAGATCAGTACTTTGATCTGTTTTATAATTGTTAGTGTGATACTCTAATATACTAGACACAAAGTGATGTTTTTAGGGTTTGTTGATTGTTATGCATGTACATGCCCCAGGACTGCACATGGAAATGAACTATTAGCTCAAATATGGCATATATAATCTCTACTCTTTTTGAGATTAATGTATGCATAGGCTTTGTTCAATAAAAGACATCTCAACAACAAATATCACGAGAGGAAAAGTTTGAGATACACCAAATCTAGTGGCGTTGATGGCATCCTTATGGGACCCTGAATGTCTCTACAAAATGTTACGACAATTCATCAGATAAAGATACTTTAGTCTGGATCAATGTGGTGGATCTAGGGATGCAAAATTGCAAAAACTTGTAGCAACAAGATGTCTTTGCCATTTGAGTAAATCTACATGTATGACGTTTTTTTTTTAAGGAAAAGCATAAAGAACCATTGGCCGGTCTTGAACCTGTGAATCAAGGCTGCCTTTCGTCTTTCAATCCTCCCAATATCTAATATACTGAAGAAAGAAAACGAAAAATGGCTTAAAGGGTTGAAATAAATAAATGCAGTTCTCTTTTTTTTCCCTAACGTTTGCCTTCACCTCTCTGGAATAGTTGTGCGTGTTTCCCTTCATATTTTAGTAAAGTGCTGTATAAATGTAAAAGTGCATATATGTTGTGCATGTATATCTTAAAAAGGGACATATGATTGGAGAAAGAAGCAATAGGTTAGCAATAAAGATGGAGATATGTTTAAAATATACTTAAGCTTTTAGGACAGAGGCTCCTTAGAAAATTAATTCAAACACTTCTTCATGTTCATTTCTCCTCAGGCACACACTGCAGTCATGTTCCCCCGACAGACCTGGTGAGTGATGGAAACAAGCTTCACATCAGCTTCTCCTCCAACGACAAGGTGGTGGACACCGGCTTCACGGCCACCTGGAGGGGAGTTTCCCCCACGGAGGGTAAGACGGGAAGGAAGTGCAGCTGACAAGACGCAGAGGGAATAACCTCCAGACACAACTAATGCATCCCATCTCCTCCTCTCCTTTATTCTCTCCCACACAGCTCCTTGTGGAGGGAGCTTCAACATGGCTCAGGGTGAAATCACCTCTCCTAACTGGCCCAATGACTACCAAGCCCAGTCTGTGTGCACGTGGCGTATCACCATTCCTGCAGCAAAAAGTATCCATATTGGCTTCACGCACTTTGAGCTTCAAGCTGCAAACATGTTAGGAAACTGTGTGGACTATGTGGAGGTCTTCAACGGAGAAACCATGGTCTCATTAGGTTGGTTACTGCACTACAAACTCTCTTTTGTCAATTTAATATCAGTATCAATGCCTGCATAATGGGGAAAAAGCTCTCAATTTCTTGTATATTCTACAGGTCGATTCTGTGGCTTTGCCCCTCCATCGACCCTCACCATACCGGGAGGATCAGTCGTCATTCGTTTCCTTAGTAACGGAGCGGATCATCAGAAAGGTTTTCGTGGTTACTGGACCAATGATGTCGGTGTTATCCCGACTTTACCTCCTACACCTCCTAACCCATGGGACAACATCATTATCAGTGAGTGTGGACTCCCAGCAGCCCTGTCTCTGATGGGTGTTGTAATGTCATGTGGCGGATCAGAGTTTAAAAAATGCAGCTTAGTGAATAATAAAATAAACATATTGAACACTGGATCATCTCATTTCTGATTTTAAAGTTTTAACCGGGTCTGATGCTGACTTCACCTACATGTTGAATAAATCATAAAAGATGATATCTTATTTATAGATAATTTAATCATATATGTTCTCCTTCCAGCCTGGCCAGTAGAATGTGGAAACCCAGCAGTGAAACCCAAATCAGCCGCCATGAGGGTGGTAAATGGGGTGGAGGCGACCCCCCACTCCTGGCCCTGGCAAGTCTCCATGCAGGTAATGTTAACATCTCCTGTTTCTCTTTGTGCCTGACTAACAGTCATTGAGAAGAGCTTTTCATTTGAAAAAAGTGTATTTCTCTTCCCCAGGCTTCACCATTGGCATCCCTCATACCTTACATGCACGGCTGCGGAGGTTCTTTGATTCATGAAGATTGGATCCTGACTGCTGCTCACTGTTTCATGTTGTAAGATGAAACTACAGAATCACCTACAGTACATTTTAATAGTGCAACCATAATCATTGCTAACATGCTCAACATAGATTGATATATTTTCAGCTAATTGTTAAGCTTTCTGCCCGACAACAATGCTTCAATCTTATTTTTAGGTGTGGAAAAAAAAAACTTTTTTCATAAATAATTTTGTCCTCATTTAGTGTAGTGATGGGAATTACGGCTCTTTGAAGGGAGCTGGATCTTATGGCTCCGTTTCTTTCCGAGAGCCGTTCAAAAGAGCCGTTCAAAAGAGCCATTCAAAAGAGCCGTTTTTTTTTAAGGGGGCGGGGTTAATAGGTTTATCTGCGAAGGAATCACCAGGATAATGATTGACTGTATTGCCAGAAATCTACTTTTACTCACAGAAAATGTATACTACTACTCAAGCAGCATGCATTATGCCATCATCTACGGCAAATGTGCATTCAGGAAAGCAAGTTCCTTTAAAGGCGAGTGGATTTATGGCAGGCAGTGAACCAACGATAAAAAGAACGGCTCTCACCAAGTAGGACTCGGTTCCCTTCGTTCGTACCAAAGAGCCGTTCAAAAGAATCGGATCGTTCGCGAACGTCACATCACTCATTTAGTGCTGGAGCTTTGAAAACCTACTCAGCACCAACTGTTAAACAGATAAAGCTTGTGACTAGCTGGCAGACAAAGAATTTAAAGAAAAAGAGTCAGATATTTGCTATAGAAGTTGGGGGAGACCAGATCTGCAAGAGAGTCCAAATAAAATATATTTGCTCCTTTACTCCTGGATGTGTTCATGAGCATCTGTTGGATCACAACTTCACACAAACACCACTAATGCGATGTCAGTGTGTTCACAACTTTTTTCCTCTGCCCCAAGGTAAAGACAACAGCTCTAAAAAAAACTTTTTTAATGTTATCTTACCCACCAGCCATTGTGTAAAGTAACTAGGAACCTATACTCAGGCAGGTACCTAAGTGCAAATTTGAGGTACTTGTACATTACTTAAGCATCTTTCTTTACTATATACATTACTTCAAACTTGAACTTAACTTGACATAAGTAACTTAACATGTAATACTTTAACTCAATTTTGCTTGATAAAGTTAGTATAGTTATAACATTTTCAATGCAGAACTTTTACTTGAAAGTGAATATTTGTACAGTCTTGTATAAGTGCTTTTACTTAATTAAAGATCTAAATACGTCTTCCACCTCTGCCTACCAGCTTGCAATAGCAAAGTGAAAAATAAACCAAGTTCTAAATTTCACTTTGAATTTTCCACCTGCTTCCCAGCCCACTGACCAACCCCACGTACTGGCGCATGTGTTTGGGGAAGCACCACATGAACTCCTCCATGGACGTCCCCTCAGCAGAGGAATGCTTTAAGGTGGACGGTATCATCCGCCACGAGGGGTTCGTGTACGAGCAAGATCCCACCGACATCTCCAACGACATCGCCCTGGTGCATTTGGCCACGGCTGTGAACATGAAGAAGGAGATCAGCCCAGTCTGTCTGCCCAAACTCGGGGCCGTGATGCCCGCTGGGACGCCCTGCTATGTCACCGGCTGGGGAGACGAGAAAGGTACAAAGTGATGATTTAGCTGACTTTTTTATCCAAAACAATGACTGCAATCGACCATGAGCATACACAATCAGAACAGCAAGAATAATGAAAGTACATAAGCTTCAAACCTTTTAAAGTTTTTATTTTAATGGCCAATGTGCTTTGTTGTAGAAACCCAACTGTATATTCTGTATACAACATCTGCTGCACATCTGTCCGTCCATGTTAGAGGGATCCCTCCTTAGATGCTGTCCCTGAGTTTTTCTTCCTTTTTTCCAACCGATTATTGAAGGATTTCTTATAGGGAGTTTTTCCTTAGTCTAAGGACAGAGCTTGTTGTATGTTGTACAGTTTCTAAAGCCACCTGAGACCGATGTATATTTATGATATTAGGAAATGTAAACAATTCGATTGATTAATTAACAAACTTTGACTGTTCACTTCACTCTCTCAGGTAACATGTTCCCCAAAGTGTCCGACAAGCTGAATCAGGCAGCCCTTCCTATTGTGGACTTCCAGACCTGCAGTAAACCTGCTTACTGGTGGGACTCCCTCAGACCCTCCATGATCTGCGCTGGCTACGAATCCCCAGATGAGCTCAAGTCAGCCTGCCAGGTGAGAGGATACTTTCAGGAAGAAACGGTCTAAAAGAAAACACAGAGCTTTCCTCACACATTATATAAATGTCCTGGCCTGGTCCTGGTTGGGTCGTCTGTTATGTAACGCCCTTTAAACTGTTTTGTTTTTGGTCAGTCAGCCTTGATCGTAAATGTCTGCCTGGTATTCAGCCGTAATTGGACATTATTTGTTTGCTATAATGAGCGAATGTGCACGTAGGGACATGGGAAAACACGTCAGCACAGTACTGACGGCTTGTTCATTTCAAAAGAGTTTTATAAAACACAACACTGACATTTGCCTCCCTGAAGAAAACTCTGTCATATTTTTGATAAAGTTGAACCTTTACCACTTCCAGGGCACAGAGATGATTTATAGAAGCTGTCAAAATCAAATGTTCAGCAATGCATCTTCTCAGCAGTGCAGTTAATCTTTAGTGATTTACCTGTCCTGCTCTCCCATAGGGCGACTCTGGAGGTCCTTTCGCCTGCTCAGGCTCTGGAACGACACCCTGGGAGGTGCATGGCATCGTCAGCTTCGGACCTCAGGGCTGCATCAAGGACAAAAAGCCCTCAGTGTTCACCCGCGTGTCCGCCTTCAGCGACTGGATCGACACCAACATCAAGAAGTTTATACATGAGAGTGGCAAAACCTACTAAAGCTCATATCTTGAAATAAAGATTTTGACAATGATTGTTGCTCATATCTGTTTTAAAGTCATTGTTGTCTTTATTGAGGGTTAACCATTAAGAGTTGCTTTCTGCTAAAGTATGATGACTCATACAGTTAATCTACAAGGCATCTTTTCTGGCTGTAAGAAAAGGTTTTAAAACTTTATTTAACACTTTATCTCAATGTTAATTTTATAATATGATACTGGTTTACATTTTCTCAAAAATAATTGTATAATAATTACAATAATGATAGTTAATAACAATGCAACGGTAAATTATTTGTTGAATCATTTTTGATGTGCAAATTATAAGTAATATTTACGAAACAAATACAACTATGGTAACCATTGCATCATTTTGTATTCTTAAGACTATTTAAAACAATACAAACATATTTTTATATGAATTATTCTTATTATTTGATGCTGCTACAGTTTGACATCAGCTTGACTTTATTTCTCCCTGAGGCCATCCCCTCAGTTCTTACAAGCTCCCTCCTTCTTTTCTTCCCTCAGTTTCAGGCAGAGGAATCCTGCAGGCACAGATTTTAAGTTTTGGGTTTTAACCCCCTATCACATGACCACGCCACTCGGCCAATAGGAGAGCTCGGCTCAGATTTCAGTCTAGGAGGAGAGAGGGTAATAGAGAGAGAGGAAGAGAAAGAGACATGACTAATCTGTGCTCATGGGCTGGACAGAATACAGCCTGCCGGGTTTGACAGCACTTTTCTACTCTCTTTCCTGCTGTGGATTATCTGTGTTGTGTTTTTGGAGTATTCAGATGGCATGTTTCACGGTTAAAGGGATTCCCAACACTGGGAAAAGTCCAAGAGTGTGTCCTGGAACAGAGTGAAGGGAGGAGGAGGGAAGAAAGCAGCAGTTTCTCCCCTCATCTTTGCCTCCGCAGGCGTTTCTTCTGTGGAAGAATGGGGGCAGGAGCTCTGACCATCTGTGTGAGTAAAAACTACAGAGCCTGAGTGGGCTCAAAGACTTCCCTTTCAACCTGTGATTAAGGGCTAGAGAATGCATAACGGGACTGTGTGGTTCAGTTTCAGTCTGCACTTTCTTCTGTGATGGTGGTTAATGTTCTGTTAGACACAAGGGGCTTTTTTTAAAAGGACAGGCAGGGACACATCTCTTCTCCTTAAAGCAAAACAAAGGTGTTCCCTCCCTAAATTAAACTTTGTTCACTTAATAAGTGACTACTGTGATCAAGAGGAATACCTGCACCTTCCGTCTTAACAGAGAATGCAGTGTCCTTGCCAGACAGCACTGTTTATATCTGACATACTTGTACAACACTATAGCAGTGCATAAAACATAGGGATAAATACATGTACAAGTTTTTTCCAGTGCCTCAGTTAGGTCATTTTTCACAACGTTTCTTAATGGAAAACGTTTTATTTTTTAGAACTTAACTTTCAAAACACTACTAATACACTTTTTAAAACGGCATGTCTCTGGCAATAGTTTCTCTGAGTTAAGCAGCTGTTGCCTCTGGTGCCTATGCTGCTTTTGCCACCAGTTGCTCCCATGGCCACCCACATAGGGAAAGAGAGTCAGAGACAAGGGGGAGGGAGAGGGAGAGCGTGGAGGGTCCGGGAAGGAGGGCACATGCTTGGGCTTGCTAACCTCTTCATGAGCAAGTTAAAAGATGCAGGAAGAAGCCTTGCCTGTCAGAAGTTTGTTTGTGTTAAACCTCTTGAAAATGACTTGTTTACTCACTTAAACTGCACAAACTGTTACTCACTCTGACACTTGTAAACACTTCTCAACAGGAGAAAGCAGACTTAAGAGTCAATAGCTTCCAGAGTCTCTTTATAGTCCCTTAACAATAGGTCTCTTTCTTTCTGTCGGAAGGTGAAGAGTGAAAATATTTTAAGGATGGGGGAGGGGGGAAGAGGATGAGGATTATTAGGCTAATTACAACATAGTGTCCTGGTAAACAAAAGGGGCAAACGGGGTACCAACAGGAAGTGATGTTTACTGCTTCTGTTCACACAGTCTCTATAGCTGTTTGTATGCTAAGAGACAGCTTCAAAAACCTTGAAATTGACTGTAAACATGTTTAATCATTGATATTATATATATATAAGTGCTTAAAGGAGAGGGAGTGATAGCTCAGAATGAGGATCATGATGCTTTTATATGCTCAGTTTATATTTACCTTCCCACTCAAGTATGGTGACAAAAGCACAACTATGTGTTTGTAAAGGACCCTGTTAACAACCAAGGTTTTAAATGTGGTCAAACACTTCAGCTCAGCTTTTTGTGTAAAGGAGGAGACACAGATACTGTTTGCATATAAGTCCGGTCATATCTCAATATATTTAGATATTGTTTTGTTCTATGTTATTCTCATTTATGTATGTAAGCTGTTTCATATTTCTTCCGTGTGAATTATCTTCTCTTACTTTGGAAATTGCCTTTGGAAGTTCTTGGATATCTATTGTCAGGGCTGTTGATAACTTAATCATATAACCATTACCTTTGATATGATATTGGAGATTTACCTGAATTTACCTTTTTATTTTGAAAAGTTATCATCAGGTGCACTGCAAACACATGACTTGGTGTTGTTGTTTGTGTGTGTGTTTTTGTATGTGTGTGTGTGTGTGTAGGCCTGAGAGTAGACAGATTTAGGGGACATATGTTCAGTGAGGTCTATCACAGTTAGACCTAGCTCAGACCGGCTTAACTCTGCGTGAGTAGTAGAACTCTAAGAGCAATTTGTCAGCCCTGAAATGTTCACACGTTACTCTTTATACACTGCTGTGTCCTAAGGACTTCATTGCCTACAATGGAAACACATACAGTATACTATAAAACTGTATTAACTTTTATTCTATAGTTGTGTATTGATTTTTTTAAATGCACTTACCTTTAACAAAGACTTCAAAGTCATTTGAGCTGTTATCGCGTTTAAAGGGGAAACACAGGTAGCCCAAGTAGTCCTTTGGTCTACTTCCTTTGATGCATTTCATCCCCTCTCTCTGCCCTTACTTTCAGCTGTTCTATCAAAAGAAGGCAAACAAACCCGCATTAAATCTTAAAATGTTATATAAATCTTTCTTGTACCATACAGTTAAAAAAGATTCCAATAGTTATAGATTTGTTGTGTATAAATACAATCATGGCTTTCTTATTTATACCTATGCGAACCTCTTATATATACATCCTGCTAAAATCTTCTCACATCTAAAAAGCTAGTTTATGAAAATGTCAGTGCAGCTTAGCATACATAAGTGCTATATGTCAGGCAGTCATTGAAGCAGTAAGAGATAACATCCAAGTGTACTTAATCACCCATTCACATTCATCAGGAAGGTGCAAATGACATAATGATAGAATAAAGTGGATGACTGAGCTCCATTAACACATTGTCTGCACAAGCTTGTCAGATGTATTAACGATGCCCGAGCATCTGTCATGGTAAAGATCTTCTCCTCAGCCATCTCTGCACCATCTGTGAGGTGGGTTTTAATCAGCTGATTGGAGTTTGGCACATGCTCGGACCCCTTCTGTCTAAACAATCGGCCTCATGGGAAATAAACTCAGTGCTTCTTCTTTTTCATCGCCCAACACAGTCAACCTCATTGTGACAAAATCATAGCCCGGGCCTCTCATTTCACTGTGGGTCACTTCACACGTTTGAAGCAGTGAACTCCGGAACAATGTCACATGATGTAGTCGTAGCTATGGATACAACAGTAAAACTCTGTTGCTCGGAAGTGCAGGAAGTCTTTTCCTGCTCGCACAGTAACCTGCGTGTGGTCTGTGTGTCCTGACTCTTTTTCCCTAGCAATATTTAAACAAAGACAGAGATGCATCATAGTGGAGTTAAATGAGCAAAACAAATAAGTAACCTGCTCTTTTTAATGTTGGCTCGTTTAGTGGAGATTGTTTGAGCACTCAGTGTTTACACACAAAAAAAAATCAAGTGTGTGTGTGTGTGTATTGTATAGGATGTGCATTAGAGAAAGAGATAGCATGTGGCACTGTTTGCCTTGATTGATAAGACATATTTAACAGCTGGTGCATTAACACACTAAATAAATACAAACTGGTTTCTACACCAGAAAAATGGGCTCATAATGTCAATTATAGAAAAGCCGTGGGGGAAAGTAACTAAGTACATTTACTCAACCACTGCACCCATGTACAATTTGTATATACCGTTACTTTACTTACAGTATATTTTAACTTCTTCACTCATTTCTAGAGGTAAATATATTTTGTTTTACTCCACTTCATTTAACATGACAGCCTAAATGACTTGGATTATATTTTTACTTTAAATGGAAATATATGAAGAGTTTATAAAAATGTGTTGAATGATGTATATACAACTACAATTCCTGAAAGAAACACTCTGTTTTTCTCAGAAAACTTTCCATTACATCCCTTTTTCTGAAAATATTCACAACTCTCCCAGCTCTCACCTAGCACACTATATAATATATCCATTCAAATGAATGTTTCTACCTCAGCTGAACATATACGTCAACATTTGCGTACATATGTCTATTCATGCGTGTGTCACTCTGACAATGCCTTTCACCCAAGGTGTTGCGTAGTAACCTGATATTTGTCGTAGCAACACATCCACGGCCAGCCCTCCCCTCTCCTCCCAGCACTCAGCACACTCTGTCCTCTAAGTGGAGGACAGCATGACACTGCATGTATGGACTCCACAGAGACACCGGCAGCATCATGACACATATTTTAGTTTGAGCCTCCCCCTGCAGGACAAATGTCTCTAACCTGATGCCGGCCGCAGCGCTGCACTCTGTGCCAGTAGTGTCGGTGGCTGACTGCTGCTCTCTGCTCTTCTCCCTGCAGCACAACAAGACAGCAGCGCTGGTTAAAGAAGACATGAAGAAGATGGTCAACATACCCATCCTGAGACCCAGGACAGTGACAGCCAAGCACACCAGGTTGTTTGGAGTGTCCCTGCTGGAGCTGCAGGAGAAGGGCCTGGTGGAGGACGGTGTGCCTTTGGTGATGCGGAGGATGGTGAAGCATCTCAGCACACATGGTGAGGAAAAATAGCAAAATAGAAAAAAGCGAACGAATAATTGTAATGTTTGATGACCCTCTTTAAAAACGAATCATTCTTATTCTAACATTTAGTTTCAAATACAGAATTGTACAGATATAAATAGTATAAATAAATAAATCATATATGTTTGGGAAGTTGGGACATCATGTGTTCCTCCAAACAAGGCAATATATTGTTAAACTAGGATTTTAAAACCTTGATCAGATCTAACAAGTATGATAAGAATACAGACGGAATATAGCATTTGGCTTTTTGTATTATGATATTGTAGTAGATGCAGTTAAGCAATAACCAAAGATACACACACAAAGAACAATGCAATACTAAAGAAAAATACATAGTAAAGGGCACGAAAAGTAAAAAATATTATAATAAGAAAAAAACCACAATATTTTAAAATCCACACCAAAGAAAAAATGCAATACTACAAAAAAGACACAACGCAATAGAATAAATATCGAAAAATACAAAGTATATATCATTTTTACTTTAAAAATAATTTGGAAGAACTTTATTTTGATCTACTTTATCATATTTCTTAGTTCTTCAGTATGACCACTAGATGTCATTATAAGAAAGTGAAGCTCCCACTAAATGGCTGCTGAAAAGGTCAGGCCTCTTTTTTGACGTCCTCAGTCCTCATTCGGTCATAAAGGTTATTCTCTTCATTCATGGAATAAAAACTATAACAAGGATTATTTCTGGATGACGTGAAAATAATAACGAAGCACTTACCATGAGAAAGGATCTCCTGTCCATCAGAGTTTGGGTTGTGTTGTGAGAAGTACATCCCTGAGGTTGCTGCCTCCGCCACAATAGCATGGAAGTGAATGTAATTGTGTTTTCCTTGCTCAGAGCATTGAAAAAGTAGTAAACAAAATATAATTAAAATGTAAACACATTCAAAGTAACTCAAAGTATCTCTTTTCAGAAACGGTGTCCATGTAACCATTCAGCATCCACGGTCAGCTTTTTTAACAGGAACTATTTTTTTGTAGAAAGTAGTTCCAAATCACTTATTGGAAGGATTACATCAGGCGTTAATGTTTAAAATATTGACATTGTATCTTAACATGAACTAAAATGGATACTTTACAAGGTGAATAACTAAAACAATTATAAAACATGCAATCGTTTATCAATGAAGCAGTTTTTTTTCTAGAGACTTTTTCTCGAAAGTAGTTCCGAATGCGGATTGATTAGCCGTTATTTTTTAAACAACGTTGTTTTTTAACGAACAGGAGAAGGGGTTATCTTCTAATATGAGCAAATGAAACCAAATATTAACATGTAATAAGCAAGAGTAAAGCGAGTTTTTCAGAAAAATGAATTAAAAGAGGTAAGTGCTCTCAGAAAAATACTGTTCTAGTAACATCTAGCGTTAGTTATGGAGTCCTACAACAACACTGACAACCGCGTGTCCAGTGAAGTAATTAGCTAACTAGCAAGGATAAATAACCCAACAGACTGAATTCCGTGTTACAAATGTCAACATTACTATCACAATATCCTCGAGGTAAGGCTACCTAAATATAGCTAATATTATCTTGCCATTTCGTAATTTTTGAGAATCTTAACATATTCTCTCAGTTAACCTTCTGTTCCTTCTGCTAATTGTGTTAAGCTAGTGATAGCTAAAAAGATGTGCCGTTGTTGTTGGTTTGACAACTAACGTCTCCTAATTTCGACACTACATTCCACAGGTAGTCTTTATCCATCCTGCTGTCGTCAGAGGTGGAAGAAGTACTCAGATCTTGTACTTGAGTAAAAGTAAAAGTACCAGAGTGTAGGAATACTCTGTTGCAGCTAAAAGTCCTGCAATCAAAAGGTTATTTAATGTAAAAGTACAAAAGTATTAGCATCACATATACTTAAAAGTACCAAAAGTAAAAGTACGTATTATGGAAATTGGTCCATTTCAGTATAATATTGTATATGTTTTAATTACAATTATTGATGCATTAATATGTGTATCAAAGCTTGTAAAGGTGCAGCTCATTTTAATTACTTTGTATACAGCAGGGTAGCTACAGTCTATGCTTGTGACATGTACTCCAGGTGTAACTAAAGTCTTATTTAATTGCTTATTATACTTCACATTATTATTCCAAATCTGTAAAGTAACTAAATAAATGTTGTGGATTAAAATGGCACTATATGCGTCTGATTTGTAGTGGTGTTGTAGGAGCAGTGTTTCTCGACTTAAAGAAGGCCTTTGACACTGTTAATCACAACAAACTCATATCTAAGCTATCCAGCATTAACTTCTCCACACAAACACTTAAATGGATAGAATCATATTTGTTCAACCGTTCTCAGTATGTCAGAGTACAGAATAATCAATCATCTAACCTCCAGCTGTCCACAGGTGTCCCACAAGGGTCAATTCTGGGTCCATTGTTATTTTCATTGTATATAAACGACTTACCATCGATATGTCCTGACCTGACACAAACATCCAAATGTATGCTGATGATACTGTAATTTATGTTCACGGAGGCAGTCTGACACAAGTGGCTAATGAACTGACGAACAAGATGGTTCATGTAACAGCTTGGTTGGAGCAATGCTGTCTGCAACTAAATGTCAGTAAAACTGTATGTATGTTCTTCACCAAAACCAAGTCCTCCTGCGTTGAACCAGATGTGTTTGTGTCCGGGGAGAGGCTACAGGTGGTCTCACAGTACAAATACCTGGGGGTCTTAATTTATTCAAGACTCAATTTTAAGGCTCAGGTGAAAAAGGTTTGCAACAGGGTCAAATTCAGTCTGTCAAATTTGAGGTTTACCAGGGACTGCATGTCAACAGAGGCGGCTCTGATGTACATGCACTCTATGGTTCTATCTCACATCACATACTGCTTAACAACCTGGTCACATGCCTGTACAACCACTCTTAAACCCCTGGAATCATTATACAAACAAACACTTAAAATAGTAGATAAGAAATCAGTTTATTCTCATCATTGCCCAATACTCACAAAATATAACTTGTTGAGCTGGGAAAATGTAATGAGATATGCAAATGCTTGCCTCATGTACAAAATAATACACGGCCTTACCTCACCTCCGCTAAGACATTTTATCACCATACGCACACCTGTAACTAGGTCAACAAGAGCTGCAACAAGAGCTGCAACAAGAGGAGACTGCGTTGTTCCATTAAGGAAGAGTTCATTCAGCCAATCTTCTTTTTCTTTTAAAGCTGCACAACAGTGGAACTCAATCCCAGTAAAGATTAGAGAACAAAACACCTGCAGTTTATTTAAATCTAACTTAAAAACATGGTTAGTGGAAAATCAGCTCTGTCAACACTGACACAATCTGCACTTTACAACGCTCTGTTTGTACATGTGCCTTGACCTGTTGCTATCTGTCTGCTTTGTGAATATGTACTTTAGTTTAGTTTTTATATATGCTTTTATCATAATATAAGCATCTATGTTGAATGTTGTTTTACTGATTGTATTTACCTGTCATTTGAAGTGAATTTTTTTTAGGATGACTTTCAACATCTGTCCAGGGTCTACAGATGAAAAATAGTGGTGCATTTACAGTAATGTCAATCAATGTGCACTGTCCCTGTCAAATAAATAAATAAATAAGTAGTGGGGTAGAAGTATAAAGTAACAACAAATTGAAATCCTCAACTAAAGTACAAGTCCCTCAAGATTGTACTTAAGTACAGTACTTGAGCACATGTTAAGTTACTTAACACCCCTGACTTTACCTAATACATGTGCTATGTCAAGATAATAACATTTTGAGACTATACTTTGAAAAAGTCATAGTGTACAAGTAGAAACTGACCTGATGAGGGTGCTAGAGGACACATTATTGCTTAACTAGTAGCAGGACAAAAACGAACCCCTTAATGACTTATATCAAAAATAATTAAAAATCCTAAATGACATTTATTTTGAAACTCTCTATGGAAAACATGAAATAAGTCATATCTTTAAAGTGACAAGCTTCTTTAATTCAGCCCCTAATTAATCATCCTGTTAAGTAAATACATAGGAATGTTCTTGAATGACTTCATATTAATTAACTGCTATTTCATTTTCTTTGATTTTTCTCCAGCCTTGAATCAAGAGGGTCTGTTCAGAGTGAATGGAAATGTGCGTGCTGTGGAGACCCTGAAACAGCGGCTGGAGAGTGGAGAGGATGTGGACCTTCTCTCTGAAGCCGACTCGTGTACGGTGGCCAGCTTGCTCAAACGATTCCTCCGGGACCTGCCTCAGGGTCTGGTTGACTCAACAGTCCAACAGGCGCTGATACAACACCACCAAGGTAACAGAAATTAGTTTCTGTGGTTCCCATTTCTTTCTTATGTGCGTCTTTTTACTGCACTGTTAGTGTACAGTTTTTATTATTATGCTGCTGTGTTTATTGTATTTTTGTAACTCTGGCACAACAACTTCCTTCAGGATAAATAAAGTCTTATCTTATCTTTGTCTGCTAGAATTATCATACTACCTGTATATGTAAGTAGATCACTTTTTACATTGTTATACCATTTCTACCTCCCAAATTCACTATCTGATAAATACACCCTCACAAGTGTATTGAATTATATCTGGTTCATGACTCTGATGGGATGATGATCAGAGCTATCTTTAGAGACTGGAATATTCTATTTCCACTGCAGTCATCTGCACCAGACAGGGCATACAAAGGCACTGCAGAGTAAAGTGTGTGTGTGTGTGTGTGTGTGTGTGTGTGTGTGTGTGTGTGTGTGTGTGTGTGTGTGTGTGTGTGTGTGTGTGTGTGTGTGTGTGTGTGTGTGTGTGTGTGTGTGTGTGTGTGTGTGTGTGTGTGTGTGTGTGTGTGTGTGTGTGTGTGTGTGTGTGTGTGTGTGTGTGTGTGTGTGTGTGTGTGTGTGTGTGTGTGTGTGTGTGTGTGTGTGTGTGTGTGTGTGTGTGTGTGTGTGTGTGTGTGTGTGTGTGTGTGTGTGTGTGTGTGTGTGTGTGTGTGTGTGTGTGTGTGTGTGTGCGTTTAACTAGAACAGTGATTGACCTCATATATCTGGCAATAATCTAGGAGGCTATAAAAGTTATAAATGGAGGGATTTGGCACGTGAAGTGTCTCTGTTCACTCTCGGCTCTCCTCCATCACTGTGTTTAATCTGTTTAATGGCAGGAGAGAGCACATTTTGGTTGCAGTATTCTTTTCCTCTCATAGAGCCCCTAGATATCAACTTATTTTCCAGGGCCTGTGTCCAAATGCTGGATTAGATAATAGCTCTTTGGTTCTAGACTTGGCCATAACTACTGAGTAAAAGGATTTTGGTGTACTTTGTCAAATTGATTTGGCCTCCTTGCCAGTATTTGTCAATATTAAAAACATCAAAAGTGTATGATGATAGACATATTAAGTTTCAGATTGATTAGCAATATAAAAAAATGCATACACATATATTTGTAACAATATATATCAATCAAGTTAATAATGGCAGCCCATTTTAATAAGGATAATGAGACTCAAGAGAGAATTAAAAAGTTCGACAACATTCGCTCAAATTTGATTAAAAAAACAATATTTAAAAAGTAATTTATCCAGTGCAATCCCAAATTATATTTTCTTGTCACAGTGTGTTGAATGTGATACTTTTTTATATTTTTCATTTATATTTTTATAAATTGTAAATAAAATACCTGTGAGGGTTCTGGCCAGTTAAAATAAGACCATTTTGTATTCATTCATATTTGCATTATTTTTGTTTAAGGGTTAAAGGGTTGTTTAAATAGTTTCCAAGCCTCCCTAAAAAACACTGACGCTACCATGTACTGTACACACTTGTGCACACGTATACACACACAATCAACAGTAACAAGAGCAGTTGTGATCGCTTTAAGCCATTGCCCTCCCCTCACCATCCTGCTTTACTTTACTCAGACAGACTTACACACATTCTCACGTAAGCGAACGCTCGTTTGCGTCACTCATTCATTCAGGATCAGAATCCATATCCGTTTATCCAACTCTGACCCAATTATGTGTCCGGGGTAATAGCATCAACATACATTTAGGCTATTTGCGCTAATGCTCACAAAGTTATCAAAACTCGAGAATACAGTATGTAATATCCATTAAAATAGTTGTTATTATTGTGCTAAAATAAATCCAGTTGGTTGTGTCATCATTCAAATCTGGGTCATTTGATTGTGAAAAATCACAAAATAACAATGTTAAAATGACTGCTTTAAGTCCTGGAGCAGCTAAAATGTTTTAGTCAGAACTTTAGGTGCCTGTGAAGAATTCAGTATGATTCTCCTGACCTTTGACCCGTTTTGTTGTTCTAATTGCTTGTGTGTAGAGAGCGGTGATGATGTCTCTTGGTCAGATATGAGAGATCTGCTCCAGCAGCTTCCAGACGTTCACTACAGCCTCCTCCGATACCTCTGCCACTTCCTCACCATTGTGGAGTCCAAGCACGAAGAAAACCGCATGACCGCCCACAACCTCGCTACTGTGTTTGGACCCAGCGTCTTCCAGTGAGTTGTACTTTTTTTTTTTTGTTAGACGTCATCAAGCTAATAAAATAAACACACATGGGCAAATATCACCATCATTCACTAGCTAATTTTATCCCACATTTCTTTTCTTTTAATCAATGGCTTTTTACCTATATTGATTGATTGATTGATTTGAAATCCTCTTAGTGGGAACGCAACAAGCTTTAACACAACATTGACATATATTCAATGATATAATAATTATATGGTGAGCATGTGAGCAAATGGTTGCCAGAAACTAGGGATGCTCCGATCGATCGGTCACCGATCGAGATCTGCCAATACTCACTCTCTACCGATCGATCGGTGCTCTCTAAACATGCCGATCGCATGACGTAAAATACATGACACTTTTCTCTGTGTGCGGCAAAACAAGCTCGCCAAAATGGCTTCACCGGTCTGGCATTATTTTAAGGTGTCCGAAAAAGACAGTAAAATAGCGGTATGCAACGTGTGTGTGAAGCAGAAATCCTGCTGTGACGGACCGGTGAGCGGAGCGAAACACACTAAGAGTTAGACCTAACACACTTAGCTATTTTATCTACCTCTGGAACAAGCTAAACTAGTTATACATATATGTATTCTTCACTGTCGGGTCACTCATTACTGGATCAGTGAGCTGCATGAGATACTGACGGGCTGTCAGGAGAGAGAGAGAGGAAAAGAGAGCGCTTCCGCTCATTTCTCCCGTGTTATTATCCAAAGTTAATGTAAACTTGAATAATGTACATCATTTGAATGTAATAATTAAGTTGATTGTTGTTTGTGGAAGCTCCAGTGAATGAGCCCCATTAACTGAGTTTTAAACATCACTTTAAATGGAAGATTTAAAGTGATGTTTAAATCTTCCATTTAGGCCCCGCCCACTCGATCGGATGGGCGATCGGTATCGGCCGATACTGATTCCGGCGATCGGCCCCAAAATTGGCGATCGGAGCATCCCTAGAAACACATCCAGCCAATACGGGCAACATTAGCGCTCATTCAGAGTCATATTTCTTCTGACCTGATGAACTTAAGTCCAATATTTGCTCTTATTTTTAGCTCTGTTTTGGTCCCTTCAAACTCCTGATGGAAGTTCCTGAGTCATTACTCCCTTAATGTTCATTATCTCGTTGCTAACTGTGTCTTTAGTTGCTGCTGGGCATGTGGAGGGCAGTCAGTTTGACATAGCGAGAACTGTGACCTTTGCAATACATGTTTGTTGCAATCTTTAAATAACAGAGTTATTAGTAAGGGAGTAAGTCTGGAAAAGAACAGGCAGGCAGACACTCCTGTATCTTAAGCTGATATCCAATCATCTCTCCCTTTTTCTGTTGAGTGAGTCAGATATTAAACATTGGTTGTATCAGAGTTCCCGTTAGCCGGTAATTACCGGACTATGACCGGTAAAATATGCTGAAGACCGGCAAATCTAAATCTCTCCGGTCAAAATGTCCGGTCAAAATAATTTCCCTTTAGCACAATACGGCATCAGTTGCGCCACTTATGTGACAGACAAGAATAGTATGTGACAGACAAGAATAGTCAATTCTAATGACTAACATTTAATGTGGAGAAAGAGTGTCCTGTATGGGTTGATTGTGCGTTGATCTGTTGGTAATGCCTCGGGGTTCCGGTGGGCATGTAAACAAATGCATAATGCTGCGCTATACTTTGTGGCCTCACCCGGTTGCATAGCGACGCTTATTGTTTAGGTGTCTTTTAATAAGCATGTAGTCATATCATTAGCTAGAACTAGCTAGATCTGATCGATATGGACATAAACGCGAGTGAAGTCTAATCTGACGGGAGCAAGAGATCAGCTGCTGCTAACGAGTTGACACGCAGCTCTGCATGATCATCTGCAGCTGAGCGGAACAAACCACACACTTCAGGTTAGAATATCACGTAGCTATTTTAATTACCTCTCAAACTACCTAAACTAGTTATAGATATGTTTAGTTTTACTGTCGGGTCACTAATTACTGGATCCGCGAGCTGCATGATACTGACGGGCTGTCAGGAGAGGGAGAGAGTGCTCCGTTTATTATTCCCGTGTTATAAATTACTGTACACTTTTGAATAATGTAGTTAATCTACTAGAATTAGTTTGTTTAATATCGAATCATATCAATTTGTTTAAAAGCTCAATAAATAACAAAGAAGACCTTTGACCGGCACTTTTCTCATTTTGTCCGGAAGATTTAAACTTTAACGGACATGTTGACTGGCAAAAAAATATTCTAACGGGAACTCTGGGTTGTATATGTCAGAGCAGTAACATCGGTGGAATGATTTCACTCTTATAACATGCAGTACATGAGGAGTTCATTTATGAATTTCAAGTCATGTCCAAACCACATACATTTCAGCTTTTTCTGTTATTTCTTTGAAAATTGAAGACAAAGGTTTTTTTTTTAGAAGTGTTGGCCGAATGTACAGTCAAAGAAATGCCCACTAATATTTGGGGAACATCTACAAAACAATAATAAAAGCTGTAATTTTTCTCTGGCTCTGTCAAGGTATTTGGCCAGCAGGTGGTGCTGTAACTTATTTAGTGTAGATAAAATCATCAGTACATCAATCATCAGTCATGAGAGTAATAAAGTGTGCTCGGATACTAACACAAGATGACATGCTCATAAATGTCCCACCTACATGTTGCTTTACATTGTGTAGACAGCAGTCTATAAACTAGTGCATCAGATAAAGGTTCTTGACATTATATTAGGCAAAGGTCACATGCCATTGGTCCATAACACTGATTTACTCTAGTTAATGATGTAAATGATATATGACATACAGTGTTTCCCACAGAATTTGATTCTATTTGTGGGCTAAGTGCCTTACTCAAGGGCACACTAGTAGTGGTGTTCCAGGCGGGATTTGAACTCGCAACCTGCAGATCATCAGCCCACCTCACTATCCATTAGACCACCAAAAAAACAAAAACATCTAATAAACAGTTGATGTTAATGTGCTTTCAACTGTTACTATGATGTTCTTAAATACAAGATGCATCAGTGGTTTGATATGCCTCCATGCAGCTGCTGAACGAAGTACCTATGTTCTCACTGGTCTAATTATGAAAGGCTTACAAGGCACTGAGTTTCATGTACATTTCATCATGCAGCTTCTAATTTCCAGGAAGGTGACTAGTGGGATCTCCCAGTAATAAACTGCAGGGTTCAGGCCAAAAAGCTGTGCAAGGTAAAGAGATTAGGGCCTTACTAGTAGAAATAGAGAAGAGATAACTGTAATGAATCCTCATCGTACTGTACAAGATGTACTCTTCATCAGAGGCTTGACTTGTGCGTGAGTCGAAGTTATATAATTGACCTACAGTTAGGCCTACAGCCCAGCTGGTTTACATCTCACACAGCTGTTCAGTAGCATCAGACACCACACTCACGCGGGAGGCTGATTTCTGCTTTGTCAATCACAACTCACTGATGACCGATTTCATTTAAGCATCAAAATCACTTTAAATTAGTTCAGGGTGTCCCGGGGTCGTAAAAACTATTGAAAGTTGATAAATCAATTTAGTGAAAATTAAGGCTATTAAAAAGTATTAAAAATTATTAAATGGCATTTTCCAAGGTATTACATTTTGTAGCTTGTTTTCAAAAAGTATATAAATTGTCCAAAGAGGTTGTATTCTACAGTCTGCCTGAATGTAATCATTGCGTAGGTGTGTAGTGTGATTCTGTGTAGTTTATTTATGGCATCCCGTTGGATTTGACGTCATCTGAACAGGACATCTCACGCTCACTGCTTGATAGCGCGCGAAGGTCCGTTTACGCCGGTTGTTAAACAACATCGTTATGGGGAAATGCAAGTTTGCGTCCAAATGGTTGGAAGATAAAGAGGAAGGACAATCAATACTGTATATAGTAAATGTGAGGTAAAGTGTGTCGCCAATGTAACCGGTTAGAACTCGAAGTGGCGATGAGGTTTTAAAATGAATGGAAAGGGTCTTAAAAAAGGTCTTAAAAGGTATTACATTTGACTTCAGGATTCCTGCATATACCCTGATCTGTTAAAGATTTGTTTTGTCTCTTTCGTTCTTTCGCAGAGTTGCTCCTGGTTTCGAAGCGATGAAGGACCAAAATATCTGTAACAAGATCATGGTCAAGCTCATCCAGAACTACAGCGATTTATTTGAGACGGCCAGAGACGGAGAAGGCTGCACTGAAGAACTGCCAACCCTTATTACTGTCAAGGTGCTGTAAACCCATAAGAACAACAGGTGCTCATGTTTTTATGAAATAGATCCGTGTCGGTGGTCAGCACAATGCAGTGCAGCTGGTAGGACGGCTCACTGTCAGCCACAGGTTGTGCTCATGCTCTCTAAACAGCATGAGTTGGCCTGTGACCTCACCATCTGCCCATCCACTTGGATGCATGATCGTTTATAAGTACAGGCTTACATAATGTCACGTTAAAATTGATTTAACTATTGATCTTATATCTCAGCCTCCCCCACAGGTGGCTGTTTTGAGTCTCTGGTTGTTGATTTATATTTGCTGCTTGGCAAGCTGATGTCTTTATTGATTTGTCAGTTTATCCGGTCTGCTGCTTTCCTGGCAGTGTCTTGCTGCTTCCTCTGTAGCTGCCAGAGGGAAATGTGCCTGAAGGAAACAAACCAAGCATTGTGTGGCAAATCAGGCATTTTAAAGCCATTTAAGTCTAGTGATCTCAGCTTATGGTTGTGATTGTTTTATTTCTTTACATTTTTTCCCCTCCCAAAATAGTAACAAATAAGTGAACTTTTCTAAAACACACAACTGTGCTGTGAAAACGGTTTATCTCCAATAATGTTTAGATAATCCAATGGAAACAAACAATTTTTAGATGCTTTATTTAGCATCAAAAAGTGCCTTTAAATCCCCAATTTAGCAATACATAGTTTACTTTCAAATACAATTCTAGTGGGAAAATAATCAAGATTACTTATTTTTAAGTGATCACAATGGATCAAACTAGGGAAAAGTACTTAACCTATTATATATCCACCAATGTGGAATGAATGTTCTTGAGCTCCCTCAATCCCTTGAGAAATATCCAGTTGACGTCAGTGACTTTGATGGTATTTACAACCCTGTAAGAAAAATTAAACTTGTGAGCATTTATCCCAAAGGGACCCCATGTTAACGAAAAAAACAAAGACAAGGCAGAACAGAAACACAGAAAAGACATAGAATCAAAGCTTTGTGCGTTTTCTGTGACGAGGCTTAGTAAATATATTAATAAAGTGTGACGTATTACATAGCTTAAAAGACTTTGGATTTATGTTGTTCAAAATAAGTAAAAACAGCAACAGCAACAGTATAAGTATCTTAATACAATTATATCACAAGCAGACCCCCAAAAATGTCTTTCACCACAGTCTATACCAAATGTCTTGATCTTGATGACTGTGTTATAGGCGGGAAATGTGTCATGGACCATCGGATGCCCATGTCTTTGACCTCTGATCTCTTATGTCAGGGTACCTCTCCCACCATTTTTAACATCACAAACATAGTGTCGGGTTCCCATGTGACACTTGTTGCCATGCAAAATAAAACTGCTTAAAAATATTTGATGAATTATGTGTTCAAATGCAACATGAGCTCAAATAATCTAAAAGCCCTGAATCCCAGTAGTGGTTTAAAAACATCTTTATAGTGTTATTTTGTGAGTTATTATTTCCAGTCACAAATGCCTGTGCTGTGTTGTGAATAACTGTAAGGGCATAGCTACATGAGACCCCGTTGACCTGCGGGAAACCCTTCAGTCAGAATGAGATTGTCTTACACTCAAGCACACACACATGAACACTCATACATATGCACAGGCATGCACAGCCTACTTAGGCCCCTCGCCTGCTAGCCTTCCTGTTGATGCCTTTGAACGAAACACACTCATTAACATTGGTGTTACCTTTCCCTCTTTCTTTCACAAAATGCTGATGAGCTGTAGGTGTGCATGCACCGTGTTCACTGTATATGTTTGAGAGTGCAGTTGGTCAGACTGTTAAAATCTATTCTGTTAAAGGTAGGGTAGGTAATTCACTTCAGAAACACTTTTTGTTATATTCCATGGAATGCTCTTAACATCGCGATAGCAATGAATACATTAAATGCTTTGACAATAAATACATAAAAAAATGTCATCTGTGGAAGCTGTGGCGCTGTAAAAAGCACGACCAATCATCTGAGCCGGCCCGGCTACAATAACTGGATGGCCTACCTGCCTGTCAGCCTTCCATCTGCGCACAAACTTATCTCGTGCCCTCATTGGTCATGTGCGCGTTCGTGTGTGTTGGAGGAGGGGCTCTGTAAGGAAGTCTGAAGGAAGGGGCAGATTTTTTTCGGTTGTGTACTTTCAAATTCTAGCGCACTCGAGCTGGTTTCTCCATTCTTACCTACCCTACCTTTAAGGTTTATCAGAAAAGCAAAAGTAGAGCACAAATATAAAAAAATTACTCCTGTGATATTTAATAGCTACTGTATACGTTCCAACAATAAAACCTTGAAACCAAAGCTTGTTAACCACTATCTGTTGCTCATTTTTAAAATAAAATGTCACTACAGTAAGAAACGCATTACAACCCTGACCGTCTTCTTTTTGTTGTTGTTCCCTCTCTGGTTAAAGGAGGTGCAAGAGACGGATGCAAGCACCCAGCCGCAGAAGTCCCCCAGCCACCTCAAAGCAAACACCCCAACACCAGTTCCTAGAAAGAAGGTGTGTGGTCCGCTCAACAGTAGAACGCAGGTGTGTCTGCGCATTCCTTCTCCTAGCTGTTATGAAAACCTTTGTCTGCATGCGTCTGCTGTGAAATCAAGTGTTGTTGTTTTGGTGTGAGGTTCCCAGATTAAACTCCCATGACCCCTTCAGACACCCAGTCACTTTAACTCCAGCCATGTGATCTGTGTGACTTGATGGGACATGGGCATGTTTTGGAAAAGCTGTTTTCCATCACGAAAGCTGTTTCTGTGTGCGACTGTGTAGGTTTCTGTGGGCTTTTTGTTATCAGTGTCAGCTGACTTGTGCATACTGCATCCAGGGGTAATCAGGTCACTTAGAGTTAACGGATGCAACCATTTTATTATATACAACTGACATTACTGACAAATTATCATTACTCAGGGTATTATCTTTTAATTGATCAAAAGTCTGCATTCAATAGAGTATTTATTTTTTGAGTTTAGTATTTGCATTTTTTTTATTATAGAAAGAAAATGTATTAAATTAATTGTTTTAGGATATATGTGACCCGCTCTATCGAAATCAGTCGGAAGTCGCAACGGCTCATTTTAAAATAAACGCGGATTTGCGTAAAAAAATATTTTTCCGGGGTTCGGGTGTTTTGTTTGATTTTAAATAAACAAAGTCTTGGCTTTCAGAATATGAAACTTTTATTTCCAAAATCACACGATAACTACATTTTTGAAGCTTGTAAAGGGAAGATGACAGCTCTCACTCGCACTCTGCTCTTCCACACTCCCTCCGGCTAAAATTATGAATGTAAGGCGTATAATAATCATAGATAACACGGCAGGGTCCGCTACAGTTTGTTTTCATCTGATTTCAATTAAACAAAGTCTTGGCTTTCAGAATATTAAACTTGTTTCGGCAAATTCAGATGATAAATACAACTTTGAAGCTTGTGACGGCATAATTACAAGCGGAGAACGGAGTAGCTTGACGTCGCAGCAGGCATAACAACAGCCGGTGTTTCTCGTGAGTGTTTTCCCCGGGAAACAAACACAATACACACAAACGCAAAATTACAAAAACACACACACACGTATACACACACACACACTCGCGAGCTTCCCCCAGACCAGTAATCCAAACGAAAATATCTTCCCTCCGTAGTATTTTGATCATTTGCTCCGCTAATAACCAATCAGATCGATGGATTCCAGAGAGGAGGAAACTTTGAAGGCCTTTTTCTCAAAATGATGACTCGGTGACAGTCATTATATAATGTGACATACTTTGCTTAATATTTGGAGTACAAAAACAATCCTGATATCATTAGAAAGCTAGGAATCTCCTCTTTCCAACTGTGTATACAACTCAAAATGTGTCTTCGGGTCAATGGAGCAGGTCACATATTTATTCACGTTTTTTTATCACACCCTCCACCAAATTACTGACTTTTATCTTGCAGTTTACCATAAATTCATGGGTTCAATTGTCCAAAGATTGTTAAAAAGACTGTCTTAGTAAATGCATTTGTGTCAATTGAAATGCACTGTTTTAATAATGTCCTTATGTTCTCTAAATGTCTGTATTTTGCATTTTCTCTTCATACATTCTTCCAGGCTGGACAGAAAAACCCACCACAAGAGGCAGAGCTCCTTAACAAATCCTCCACTATTCCTCCAAAGGCGCGGCAGAGGAAAAACAAGGTAGAGGAAATTACACTGTTATCATCGTGAAGCACTTTTTTTGATTGTTATTGTTTGAGGCGTTTTGTCTAATGGTTTGCTACAGTCCATTTATCTGCCTTTCCAATAAATACTTACAGCCTTCTTATCTGCTGCATTGCCTTGGTGCTGATTAGCCTGAGGTCACTCTCAGACAGACGACTCTGATGCATGTGGCCTCGCTGCTCAGTCACATGATTTGATTTAATTTGATAAAGGCAATCTGCTGCAGGGCAAAACAACACACTAATATGCAGTGGGAAACATGTGTTGTGGTATTATTACAGATGGACTCTGCCACAAAAGCTGCATACGATTTGATTACTATTAAGACATTTCCTGTTTGTGTACAAGAATTAATTTAGCTTTGATTTCATTTATTAAAACAAGGATTAAAGTTATATTCAGCGAAATACATTTAAATATTTTAAAGTTGTTTATATCACATTTCACTTTGATGCAAAATAACCTTGTGTATACATTCATGTTAAAACAGGTGATACAATGAGTAATTGATGTGAGGTGAGCTTCAGTTTGACAACAAAGATAAGCTTGCTGTGGTTGTTTCACATTTATATAAACAAAGATCTGATGCCATAAATGCTGTCCTCATATCAAGAGCAGTGTCAGGGATAAAAGAAACGCTGACTGACAGTGAGATAAGCTCAGGACTGTACAATGTGTGCTGATAAAGGATGTCTGTTTTCCCTGGTAGTCAGTGAAAAGTCTTCTACTTTTAGCAGAGCTAGTATTTGATCTTAAGAATGTGAAAGGGTGACGTCACGTTGTGTCACGTGACTTGAATTTTGAATTGAGCCGTCCCTTAAGTTATAGATTATACAGTATCTCTTTACGTATTAGTGATGGGAATTCTGGCTCTTTTTAGTGAGCCGGATCATTTGGCTCGGCTCACTAAGAAGAGCCGGCTCTTTCGGCTCCCAAACGGCTCTTCATTTTACCACAGTTTACCACGGAGCCTCAGTTATCGCCGCTGCGAGGCTCCGGCGCTCGCAGTTCACGCGCGTGCTCCACTAGCACCCCCCGTCGAGGCTCGCCGGCAGTACACTTTCACAGGAACACACTTTGCTGGCGGCGAAAATAATCCCACCAGACTCCTTTGCCCCTCCAACAGAGGGATGTCCTTGTCCTTTTTCCTTTTCGTCATTTCAAGCGATAAAAACTTGATCTTCTCTCGAATTATTTATTTTTTTGGACGCCCTCGGCTCGAGTTCAGGGCGTTCCGAGCTGAATAAGGGCGTCAAATGACGGCAAGACGCCCCCCTGGCGGAAACGCTGGTGAGAGCTGTTAGCGATTTTAAACCAGAAAAGGATCTGAATCCAGATTTAGACCAAAGGTATTGTCAAAATGTGTAAGTATTGTTACGAGGAAACTAGAATGACAAAAGTATAGGCTGTTATTAAATGAAATACATCATGCTTTTTCAAAGAAGAAGTGTCATGTCTGAAGAGGTGCAACACAGTACTTTATCTAGTAAAAAACACACACTAGCGTCTACAAGAGTAAAGGTTAAAATAAAGAACATTTTAGAGTAATCCCAACAGTAATTACATTCAGTAGTCACTGAGAGTAGGACTCGTACAAAAAGGACTGCTCTCAATCATCACCTATGAACCAGAAGTGTGTGGCGGTGTCTGTATCTACAGAGACGCTGCCATCTGCCTTTATTTTCAAATCATTTCTGAGCTTTGTGTGCCATCTACTAATGAGCATGGTAATCCCTTGTTGAAGTGTGAACCCTAATTGAATTTTACTTCATGCTTTGTACTGGTGGGTGTCTTGTGCACTCATCCTTGGCTGAGTTTGATGTTGAAAGTGGATGAGATTGTTGATGATGTTGGTAATGATGTCAGGAGGTAGGGATGCTCCGATCGCCAATTTTGGGGCCGATCGCCGGAATCAGTATCGGCCGATACCGATCGCCAATCCGATCGAGTCGGCGGGGGCTATGGGGATCTTCCATTTAAAGTGGTGTTTAAAACTCAGTTAATGGGGCTCATTCACTGGCGCTTCCACAAACAACAACCAACATAATTATTACATTCAATGAAGTACATTATTCAAGTTTACATTACATTGGATAATAACACGGGAGAATTAGCGGAAGCTCTCCCTCTCTCTCTCTCCCTCTCCGAGAAAATTGAGGCTTAGCCTCTTAGGAGTCGCTAGAGCTTCACGGTCAAGGTGAGCGAAGAGAAAGAGATCTCTCTCATCTCATCTCCGAAGGGATTTCACCTCCTCTCCCCTCCTCTCTCTTCTCCTCTCTCTCTCTCTTCTCTCTCTCCCTCTCTCTCTCTCCTCTCTCCCCCTCTCCTCTCTCCTCTCTCTCTCCTCTCTCCCTCTCTCCCTCTCTCTCTCTCCTGACAGCCCGTCAGTATCTCATGCAGCTCACTGATCCAGTAATGAGTGACCCGACAGTGAAGAATAAATATATTTATAACTAGTTTAGCTTGTTCCAGAGGTAGATAAAATAGCTAAGTGTGTTAGGTCTAACTCTTAGTGTGTGTTTTGCTCCGCTCACCGGTCCGTCACAGCGGGCGGAGCTGCAGGATTTCTGCTTCACACGTTGCATACCGCTATTTTACTGTCTTTTTCGGACACCTTAAAATACTGCCAGACCGGTGAAGCCATTTTGGCGAGCTTGTCAATTCAAAAGTGTCATGTATTTGACGTCATGTGATCGGCTCTCCTGATCGGCATTTATAGAGAGCGCAGATCGATCGGCAGAGAGTGAATATCGGCCGATATCGATCGGCGGCCGATCGATCGGAGCATCCCTAATCAGGACTTATGTCTTATGTCTTGAATGTTGAGTATTGTTGTATTGGTTTAAGTGTCGGACCCCAGGAAGAGTAGCTTTTGTCAAGAGCAAAAGCTAATGGGGATCCTAAATAAACCTAAACATTGTGACTGGGTACCAGCGAGCATCAAGGACACTAACCAAGTGCTACAGAGCATCCTGCATTGCACTGAAGAAAAAACAGGAATAAGAAGAGTGCAATTCTAGCCCATTTTTCTTCTAATCAACAATATTTGAATGAATCATGAAAGAAAAAAAGGTTTCCACAGAAGTCCACAGTTTTCTAAAGAATATTATTAAGAAATAATTTGTTCGCTGTGACTAAAGTTTATTTTCCGCTGAATCAACATAAGCTCCCTTGGTACTGTGCCATTGGTTGATCCTAGCAACAGAAGGTTTCAGTGAACCCCCCTGCTGGCGGCAAAGCAGTAAACTAATAAAACAATCAAGAGCAGGTTGTTGAGGAGCAATTTAAACACAATACACATTAACTCAAAGATCAAACTGCTGATTCAACTAAAAATGAAACCAATAGACTCCTCACATGTGAGCATTTACTGAAAATGCTTAACCTCCTTAATGATTATTATCAGGTGATATTACTATAAATATTAACCTTTACAGCTGCATTTCCTGTCGAACCACTTATAGAAAAAAGGCCGGGCTTGGCACAGATTTAGCCTTGATGCTTTCTTATTTTAAAGATAACTACACTTGGGAGACCACATTTGAGTGATCACTACTTACAAATCACAGCTAGAGCTAAACATTGTGTTTGGTACTGTCGCACCGCAAGGCAAAGGTGAAATAAGTCTATAAGTTATACAGTATTTATGAGCCTCAGGCCAACAAACACACCCACACACTTTAATAAGAAAGCCCTAAGCATGCCTGTTGTTTGGTTTATGATGCGAACTTGTGTTTAGTTTCAACACATAGTGATGTTAATGTCCATAGATGAGCTTTGGACTCCAAAAGGGGCACAGTTAATACTGGCAGACTATAACTCATTCCTTGTTGTTGGATAAATGGCAAGGCAAGGGAGCCTTCTATTGCGATGATAAGACCACAAACACATTTTAATACTCATGTTGAGCAAAACTGCTTATACATACAACCAACTATTTTGAAAAGACTAGTGAAAGTACGTGTGGTGGTTGCGAGAACATGGATTAGTGCAAAGACTCTCAAACACAGACACCTAAAAAAATGAGCTGTCACAAATGTCTGTCGCAGATAAGTGCTCAGATGTTCACTGACCTTTTTATTGTAGCAGATTATTTATTAGTGAAAGTATCATCTAGTGTTTAAAAATGTAAGTTACAAATCTTTTAATGATTTGTTAATCCATTACATTTACAAACCAGGTCATATCCCCATTTGGTCTGTTAGACTTTTTACCATCTGGCCTATTTACCGTAGCTCCCTCTTGTTGTTCTGTTTGAGCTGTTTTATATGCATGTATGCAGATACTGACAACCAGGGACGGAGGGCAGCAATATGGGTCAGTGGTAAACACTGAACTTACTCGCAGTTTCATTTGAATCGACCGCTATTTGAAGTTTCAATGACTCCAGTCCAAACAAATGAATTTATGGATAGAAAGCATAATTGGAACACCTTAACATTGACCAACGAATGACAGCACCATCTCAGCAATACCTTTAAAGTTCATTATGTAAACACCCATTTTTTTAAACCTGGATTTAATGATAGCATGGTGACTCCATCACTTCTCCCCTCAATAAATTGTCTTCATTCATTTTACATTATTTGTCTTTCCTTTTGAGATAAGGAAAAATAAGCAGTTTTTCATTCTTTTTAAATTTCTGTCAATTAAAAATTAAGCTAAATCAATAACAAAACCCTGAGGGGCAAAATCCATACCACGTCTAGCTAAAAATATGTTCACTAAGATCCACCCATTAAGTGCACCAATGACTACATTTCAGAACAACCCATTAGGTCCAACTCATTAGGTCCAACCCATTAGGTCCAACCCTAAATGGAAATGTTCTGCTGATAATTGGTGTAAAGTAAAAAAGTAGGCCTTTTAATTCAACCGACAGACGTTTATCTAGAGCAAGCCTCTTTTAGCAGTGGTTGGTTTTGACCATTATCAATACTTAGGCTGCTGGCGTCAGACCCATTTTGACTCTGTTTTTCACAGTCAGTGGGCTCTCATTAGCAGCCCTCTCCTTATATACCAAGAGAAAGCTCTTTGTCACCTTCTTTATCACTTCTAACAGGCTTCCTTGGACCAAACTCATTAGAAAAAATGCAGAAGGGTACTCATAATTTGGCTGTTATTAGATTGAGGTTCTTTTCCTACATTACAGTAGGTGGCTCACGTTTTTTATACCCACTCAGGGTCGACACGGTAAGATCAGCATCAGTCTAACCTTACAGTTTTACAAGCTAACCTCTTTTCCTCCTCTCTTTCTCGCCTCTTTAATTGCACTCGGCTTAACCTCATAATATCCTGGATTGCATGTTTTATAGTAACCTGAGCAAAGCCTGCACGCTTCAGTGTGTGTGTGGTTGTATGAGCTTTATTGTGCCCAAATGTTCACAGTAGTGTATCATTTACCTCTCATATTTCACAAGACTCACCGGTTGTCGGCTATTTGCTCTCTCTCTCAAATAGGTGAGGAAAGGAAAGAGTGGCGGTATGATTCAAGTCATCCCTCGGCCCAGCCACTCTGCTGGGTTGCCCCATGCCAAGATCCTCTCCATACCAATCATTTTGCCCCTGACATCAGGGCTGAGAAGCCCCAGTCCTGAGCCGATGGAGACAGCGCTCCAAGACTCTGCCTCGCCACTCGGCCACTTCGATGTCAGCTCCTCAGGCAGCATGGAGGACGTCAGCAGGTCAGTGTGTAAAGAGCATGCACAGTGTCTGAGAAAGTTACTAATTAAAACTGTTATTCTTTCTGAAAACTGATAATATTAATTTAACTGGACTTTTTTTACAACTAATTATTTGTGCTTTTTTAATGTTAAATGTTCACAAAAAAAGATTAACTTCAAAATGAAATAAATACTATGTAAAATATAGTCAGGGATATAAATATATCATATCTTTAGATGCTTTATGTGCACTTAATGCACTTTTAATTTTGAGTCAATCACGTGCCAAAATAATTTACTTGAATATATATATATAATCCGTGGCTCTTGCAGTTTTAAGATTTGTTTATGATCTTATCTGCAAGCCTGATCCTTTATGGTCGCTATAAAATAAAACATGGTCATATAACACAAAATAAATCTTCACTGCTACAAACATAACATCTAACTAGGAAACGACTTCTATTTTCGTTTTGTGACGTCTCATTCCAATATGGAAACTATGCTGTGATTCTAGCAGTGGTAAATAGGTTATGACCACTGTTTGCACAGGTGATTTGCTATCAGTCGAGGGTGAGGGTGAAGAATCCTCACAGCGATCGGGGATCTAAAGCCAAAGCACCGTGGCAATGTGCCACTGGCATGCAAACAAGCCTATTATAAGAAGTTGAAACTGGAGCCACTTGGTGTCGAGTGTCCTCAGTCCTGGAATAGCAAGGCTACAGCTGTGTCTGTTGTTGGGGCTCCTTCTGCTTTGACTGGGGGGTTGGACTGACATTTGCCTTGACCGCACCTGCACTGTTTGTCTGAAAAACCCTTCTTTACTATTTAAAAACTCTTCTCACACACTCCAAATCCAATTTTCTGTTGAGATTTTGCTTCCTCTATTTATAATATTGACATAAGTGACATTAAAGGTCATCACCTTGTGAGAGAGGATACGTACTGTAGAATTTGTCCCATTGGAAAAAGCTAGAAAATATGATGTGGATGTACGATGTTGAAACACTGATGAGAAATTATAACTCTGTTTTGGCCTCTACTACGACCTGGGGGACACACCACTAGGGCTGTACCCGAATATCCGAATATCCGGTCGTCGGCCCACTATTCGGTTTTCAATTTCGTTATTCGGATATTCGTTTTTTTTGTTGTTTTTTTTCAAATTGAATTTATTGAAATTTCCAATATCAATGTAAGAGCTTGTGCCTCTTCGGGGGGTGCTAACACTTAACCATAAACTTTATCGTTGACTTTCTCCGTCTTTATATGTAGATATGACTTTTGTCCGTTAATCTCCGCTCCTTTTGTCCGTCACGTTGTTTCCATAGCAACAGCAACTTCCTGTCAACAGCGCTAACTCTCCTTCAAAATAAAAGCATGTCCATACAAAATAGCCAAATTACACTTAAGACGTATACAACTGCAACGAAAGTAACAAACACAATATCCTTTTCAATTTCAAAGAACATAAATTGGGTTATTTACATTAACAAATAACTATAAAACAACAATACTGTAGAATAACAAAATGAATGCCTTGAATAAACCGAAATACACGTGTTGAAGCGCGCGGTACAAAATGTTTATTCGGGACAGCCTTACACACCACTGACCTTTAGTATCACATTAGTCAGAGTTCAAAACCGTCCGTGTCAGAACCAGATCCATTAACACATCACGGTATCACTCACACAGTGGTTAGCTCTCATACATACCTGTGGACTGAATTTAAACCTCACTTCACCCACTTATATAAACTGGAAAAAAAATAGGGATTGTGAAAAAAAATAATATTATTTAAAAAATGTTTAGGGGAAGTAATAATTACTTTTGTCATCCCATCAAATTCAAGTAGTATGTTGACAAGTTGACACATTTTCACAAGCTATCAAAAAAGTCCAATACTTTTAAAGTAATTTTCTTAAGTAATTAACATTATTCCATAGTTGACTTCAAGTTTTTTTTTAAATCAATAGCAGCTTAACGGCAAAGATAATGCTGTAGCAAATATTATACTTCAAAGGTGCCAACAGCTTTCATCACCACGTCAGGAAACCAATAAATCTCCCGATGGATTTCCCCCGCACCCTGAAATCCCCCTCGTCAGGTCGCATTGGGTGACCGATGTACAGAGAGCGTGACAGGGGACCCACCAAAATGCGTCAGCACTCAGAACTTTGTGGTAGGGCTGCTCGATTATGGCAAAAATCATAATCTCGATTATTTGGGTCAATAATTGATATCACGATTATTAAAAACGATTATCCATTTACTTTGAAAACATCAATTTATTTGAACAGTATGTTTTTAACAGTTGATTACCATGAACTTTAAGTATAATTAAACTAAAAAACCTATAAAAAAAATAATTAAAAGAAATAATAAATACAAAATAAAAAATTGTTTTATTTCGATTATGTTGTTTTCATAATCGTTGCAAGCCAAAATCGTAATTGCGATTAAAATACGATTAATTGAGCAGCCCTACTTTGTGGTATTTACTAACAAACACCTGCAGTTACAAAATAATTAAAGAAATTAACCAAATGCAATGCAGGAATACTTACTACAAGTGTTTGAAAAATCCACGACATTGGATCTTTTAAAAGTTCAAAGGTAAATCCTATATTTGAACAGAGTAAGAAATACATAGAGCTTACGAGTTTGTATTGAAAATGTTTAAATCGCAAATATATGTGATTTTGACACATACTATAGAACCATAGCGAATATATGATAATTTTCCATTAGAGGATTCATCTGTGTTTTCATATCTGTTGATCCTCCTGTGTCTACTTGTCAGCTTGCTCTCACTTTCCATCGGTATGTGTCAGACAAATCTGTGTCAGCATGCAGAGCACACAGCCGCTCAGCCACCTGGCCTCAGCTGAATCGAACACATCCAGAAAGACAAAATGTAGAAACTGCTTTTTAGATTTTAATTGAAATGCTCATCAATATGTAATATGAAATCAAGAATTGAGAACATATGTTCACACCTTGTAGGTTGTAGAGAAGAAGGGAATTAAAAATACATCTGATGACATGTGTGATTTGCCCCCTTCTTTCTAAGAATTACTCCTGTCCCGGAGCGTCGGCACATTTAGTACCAGCTGGTAATCTAATCTTCATTCTAGAGGGATTCTAATTTGTAGATCTTCCTGTGTTCACCTTTTTAGATGCTGTACTGTATCAGAGTATATTTTTTACATCTGATCTCATTTACATATTTTGTACCCAGAGTATCCGCTAAAAACATGTTTCGCCGATCAACATGTCCGTTAAAGTTTAAATCTTCCGGACAAAATTAGAAAAGTGCCGGTCAAAGGTCTTCTTTGTTATTTATTGAGCTTTAAAACAAATTGATATGATTCGATATTAAACCAACTAATTATAGTAGATTAATTACATTTTTCAAAAGTGTACAGTAACTTACAATAACACGGGAATAATAAACGGAGCGCTCTCTCCTTCTCCTGACAGCCCGCCAGTATCATGCAGCTGGCTGATCTAGTAATGAGTGACCCGACAGTAAAACTAAACATAACTAGTTTAGATAGTTTGAGAGGTAATTAAAATAGCTACGTGTGATATTCTAACCTGAAGTGTGTGTTTTGTTCCGCTCACCGCTGCAGGGGATCATGCAGAGCTGCGTGTCGACTCGTCAGCAGCAGCTGATCTCTCTCTCCCGTCAGATTAGACTTCACTCACGTTTATGTCCATATCGATCAGATCTAGCTAGTTCTAGCTAATGATATGAATACCTGCTTATTAAAAGACACCTAAACAATAAGCGTCGCTATGCAACCGGGTGAGGCCGCAAAGTATAGCGCAGCATTATGCATTTGTTTACATGCCCATCGGAACCCGAGGCATTGCCAACAGATCAACGCACAATCAACCCATACAGGACATGTCTTTCTCCACATTAAGTGTTAGACATTAGAATTGACTCTTCTTGTCTGTCACATACTATTTTGACCGGACATTTTGACCGGAGAGATTTAGATTTGCCGGTCTTCAGCATATTTTACCGGTCAAAGTCCGGTAATTACCGGCTAACGGAAACTCTGTTTGTACCTCTATCTATTAAATCAATGCAGTAATTCTTTATCCCACTGCTCTCACCTGTACCCGAAATATGACACCAGCCTAATTCACCACACACACACATGAGCCAACATAGCAGCGTCATGTGAACTTATTTTGTTCTCAGCATTGCGTAGTCGCACGTAGGGGATGCATACTGGCTTTTGTGTGGAGTTGCCATGGTTCACTAAATCTTGTGATGTAACCATTGGATTTCTTAGAAGCCCATTGGAAATAAGTGGGAGTGAGGAACGTTGCAGTGTGGTGTGAGCGCAGGGATCCCTGTGGGTATAATGGCATTGTTGGCAGCCTGTCAGAAAGACTCATCAATCAACCTTAAAGTCTGACAGCACATATTTACAGCTGCACCCTGCTGACTGGATTAAAATGGCCTTCCTGCAATTTTTAATGTGGTGCCTTTTTTTCAAAAACTCATACAGGACACCTCCGTCCTTTTTTCAGGTTTTCTTTTAGGAATTTCGGTTTATGAGGAGTCTCAGTCAGCAGAATATCTAGAACTAGAATATTAGATCTAAGTCAAATGAGATACAAAAGAACATTTCAGCTCGTTTGTGGAGTATTTTTAGCCCCTCATGAAACTACTTAAGGCGAGTTAATATCAGGACTTTGGTAATAAGAACACTGCTATGTCAGATTTACAAATCTAAAACAGGCCTGTGATCTCCTCTCCCATTTGGGTTTAAACATCAATAAGATGCAGCAAAGAGTGTAAACATGATAAGAGATTTGACACAAAACAAGAGGCATTTCAGATCTGATCATATTTCATGTAAATCGTAACAGCCGCCTTCAGCTTTAAAACTTGGAGCATGGTGGCCTTTTGTTGCTTTAACACCATTTTCTCTGATACGATGAACTTATACCAAGCTAGCTTAGCCAGGCTTTTCCAAGACATACTTTAGGTCTTGACCACCACACAGTGTGTGATCTGAGGTATTCTAAGAATGTGTTTGGGGGTCCTGAATAGGAGCTGAGACACAAGGGGACTAGTGGCTGATTTACTATTAAAAACAACATTTCAGGAAACATTTTGTTGAAGCCTGTCCTAGCTAGAGCATTTTTGTTTAAGCACCTACTCAAATAAAAGCTTCACTAAACCCAGAAAATAACAACAATCAAACCACTAATCCCAACTTCTATTGTGAAGGCAGCTCCATCATAATGTTTTATAGATGTGGTTGAAATCGGAGTTTCAGTGAGAACTTTGAATAGACTTCTGCAATTGTTGTTTTTGCGAGTTGTAGGATTTTGTCAGGATTTTTACGCCAGACTACTTTGTGGACACACTTTTTAAAATGTGTGTCCAGAATAACCGACTTGTCATTTGTAATTTTCCGTTCGCCCCGGAGGGATCAGACCTTTTTTCTGTGTTCTCCAACAGAGCTTTTTGTTATCCCCTCAGTAAGGTAGTGCGTAAGCAGGATTTCCGCTTTTGCGATTCACCGTGCCAGTGAAGGCACATTATTATTTTAATACGATTGCCAGACTGTATAACACCAGTTAAGAACATGTGTGTGGGGAAAAACCTTCACCTCGAAGGCTCTTTAGGAATGCATAGGTCTCATAGTGAACCATACCTGCCCCTAAGACATGTCTACAGGAATACATGCACATGTCTTTTGCCCTTGAGAAGATTTATGAAGCTCAACTTTGGCCTCTTTTTGATTCCTGTCTCACTTGAAACCTAAATCCTTTGTTTTGAACTTGAGGTGCTGCCCCAATGGCCGAAGTGGATTCCTTTTCCCTCCACACGCCCTCCCCCCTTACAGTGAGCCCCATGATGGCACGTCACGTACCAAAACACACCCGAGAACCAAACAGTCACAGAACGGTCTGCTCAATAACAAGTCTTTATTCTGTTTTCGACTGATTGTTCATTGGCACAGTGTACTCAAATTTGGAAATTGTTTCAGTTAGATGATGTTTATTTTGTGTCCCTTTCTAAGACATCAGACGAAACCAGCAGAACAGAATATTCTTGCTGCTCATTAGATATCAATAATATTGTGTGACTTCTACTGCGATGAATATGGTTTGTAGGACAGGTTTAATTACATTACAAAAGTAAATCTATATATACACAAGATATTACTGTTAGTCATTATGCTCTTTGTCAGAATATTGGATATAAACCACTTAAAGGTAGGGTAGGTAATTCACTTCAGAAACACTTTTTGTTATATTCCATGGAATGCTCTTAACATCCCGATATAGCATTAAATGCTTTGACAATAAATACATAAAAACATTTCATCTGTGAAAGCCGTCGCGCTGTAAAAAGCACGACCAATCATCTGAGCCGGCCCGGCTAAAATAACTGGATGGCCTACCTGTCTGTCAGCCTTCCATCTCGTGCACAAACTTATCTCATGCCCTCATTGGTCATGTGCGCGTTCGTGTGTGTTGGAGGAGGGGCTCTGTAAGGAAGTCTGAAGGAAGGGGCAGATTTTTTTCGGCTGCGTAGTTTCAAATTCTAGCGCACTCGAGCTGGTTTCTCCATTCTTACCTACCCTACCTTTAATGGTTAACCCTCCTTTAAGGAATAATATGGATATTTTTATTATCAGTTAATCTGCCAATTATGTTTTGAATTCTCCTTTCTTTTGGTTAAAAGAAGCTGTGACATATGCCCATCACAATTTCCTAAAGCCAATCATGATGTCACCACATTGCATGTTTTGTCTAGAACATTAGCCCAATTGGGAGGTGTAGCTGAAGTATTTTGTTTTACTTGAAATGAATTGAACATAATTCAATATAGTTGACAAAACAACTGATTGTTTTATCGCTATCGATGATCTACATACTTTGTCAGTCACTGTCATTCACTATATCATAAATACTGCTGAGCAGTTGACCTGTGAAAAAATGTTGTACCTGCTGTACCGAGTTTATCAACATTTTTTTACTTGAAACATTGTCTAAATAGTTCTGTTGCATATTTGTTCATTGAGAACCTTTTTACAATTGTCTCTACACGTGTTTGAGAACATTTCTAAAATTAACTTTGTCTCGACACGTTTTTGCTCACATGTGAACATCCAAATCCTGTTCCATAGGGGTTTAAAGTAAAGAATAGTCGCACTATTTTGTAGTTTACAGAAGAAATATCGGCCTTTTTCACAGCAGACATTTTGACTTGTCAGAGAAGGACACGTAGGTTTCACTATAAACATTAATGATGGCTCTATTGAAGTCAGCCGTGAGAGTGTTATAGCATGCATACAACTATGAAACACTAACTGAAGCATCTCTGTAATTCATCTATAATTATCTTTAGATTTAGGTCTGTGCTTTTCCTTCTTTGACATTTGCCTGGAATCTTTACAACAAAACACAACTCTTTTGATTTGCAGTTTTAAAATGCATATAATATAAAGCTAGTTAGTGTAAATTGTCAAATATAGAAGTATGTCATTGTAGCAGAACATCAATAATTTGAACCGCACATAAATGGCTCAAACCAAATGAAATAAGCGTATATAAACACAGTCCTGATTTAACACACTTTGTGTTACAAGGTCAATTAGTTCAGGTTTGTTGCAGTGTTTTTCTTCCTGCTTTGATTTTAGAGAGGATAATACAGTATTCAGCTCTGCTTAGGCAAACAAGACTAGGTGATTATGAAATGTTCAGCTTGTAAGAGCCAGGATATGAAATGGTTAGGCAACCTCAACATTCAGTGCCAGCACTGAGTTCCTCTTATCGTTGCATAATTTTCATCATGTGTTGCTGGCATGTTTCCAGTGGCAGCAGACAGCCTATATTCTAGAGCAGCACCCATTTCTCTTTTGGTTCATAATAATCACCAGAGACAAGTTGCACAAAGGCACTGATCTGCTGCTCATTATGGCTATTATTCTGCAGACAAAAGCCAACCCTATGCTCCTCAGCCCCAGTGAAATGTAGAGAGGAGGGGGGCAGCTGGATGTTGTTATGCCTTAGCACTTCATTGCCACATCCTGCAAGCTAATTAATTAATTCTGGTTGTTTTTATGTTTCAGCTCCCAAGAAGAAGAGAGGCCAATATCTCCTTTCTACATGAGGTAAGGCCATCTTGCTTTGCATGATAAAGCTGGCAGCACTGGGGGGGGGGGGGGGGGGAGTATGTTGTTTGGGGCTGTAGGAGTGGGGCAAGCTGTGTGCTGCATCATAAAACAATGGAACCAGCAGTTAGAGGGAAAGCGGGGCAGCGTGCACATGCATCTGTTTGCTCACCAATGTTTTTGTTATTGTGGAGGAGGAGCCTCAGCATGTTTTGCACATGTTTCAGAACCCCCCCACCCCCCCCCCCCCCCCCCTCCCTCCCGGTGAAGACGCATAATGATGAGATGGTCATTGAGTGAGTGTGGGGAGAATAACAACTTTAGCTTAAAACGTTTTGTCAGCAACTATTTTGATAATCTATTCATTGTTTCTAATTTTTCAGGCAAAAGAATAGTGAATGTCTAACAACAGTTAAAAATATCCATCCCAGTTTCTCAAAGCCCAAAGTTATTTCTTGAAATGTCTTTTGTCAGTCCGATCACACATATATTCAGTTTAATGTGATATAAAACAGAGAAAAGCCGTAAGGAAACTGAATTTCTAATTGTTTGTATTAAAAACTCCTGCAAGAATCATCAAAATAGTTAGTAATTTTTTAGTTGATGCTCCCAAATTATTATTCAATAAAAAGACAATATATATTTGATTTTATATTAGTTTTTAAATGTTGTTGGTATTATACTTACTCAAAATTAACAAACCTACATTACATATATCAATAACAAAAATAATTGTAAATCGCAGCATTAATAATATCTGACTACATCAAACACATATCTAATATATTTGATATCATTTCTTGTCATAACTTCCAAAGGTAAGTTAAAAGTGAACCAAATAATAGTGCATGAAATGACATGCATTAATACTACAAACAGTAAACATCATGTTTCTGCACATGCATGTGATAATGTTCCTCTGCAGCCTGAACACACCTACAGTACACCTTATTAATCATCTATGACCCTACTGTCATCTCTTCCCACTTAACCCTTATCGTATGTTTACCTAAAGCCTTAAAATCACAGCAGCTTGTCCAGCCTGAACGGCAGGTTCCTCAGTTAGTCATTATGATTTAGCACTTTTCATCAGGAATGCTTACTGATATGATTTAAGGGCTGATAAGGCTCCTAGGTGGCTGTGTGTGTGATCAAGCAGTACAAATTGGTTTTGATTTTAACACCAAAACTCAGCATAGGTAGTTCTCCACTTTTATAAGACACTCCTGATCCTAAATAAATGGGCCTAAAGCCTCACAGGAAAATTGGAAGAACTGGGAAAATGCACTCAAAAAATACAGTACAACTTTAAATACACTTTATGACTTATACTGTATGTAAATGATACCCTATTTTGAAAATAAATCCCTTCTTAAGATTTTCATAGTCTGAGTTATTTTTGTTGTTGCACCATAGCAGATAACAACATTTTTGTCCTTAATACAGATAAGAATTTAGAAGATGTTTATCCAATGCAGCAGTAAACCTAGATTTGTTATAATGTAATAAAACACCAATCATTCTGATCAGAAGGTCAAAGGTCTCAAATAGTGCCTACACCGGAGGTTAGTGATAGTCAGTTATGGACAGTACGTTAAGGATACAATGCTTATCATTATCCTATTTTACTATGGTATGGGATATATAATCTCTTTGTATGCATAACATAATCGCTGTCAGCATACCTCCACGGTAAACCCGAGATTCCATTTTATGAAACAGATAAGGTAGGTAGCATATAATCATTTTACAAGTCTACAGATTCATTTCTAATATAATCATTGTTGCAGCCCGAGTCTGTTCCAAGAGAGCTGGACTAAGTCTGTTGAAACAGTTTTCCCCTTTTCCTCTCTCATTCACTTCTCTTGCTCACGTTCATCAATGACTTACTCCATGGCCTACTTGTACTTTATCACATTCACACTCAGATACACTTTCTTTTCTGTCTGCTGAGGTCTACATACATTACTTCACAAAACAGATTGCCACCTAGATCGATGAGCATACTTTTCTTCTGTGTGTGTGTGTGTTTACCAAAAGCTTCTAGACTCCTGGCTAATACCTGACTGTGGTGTAATACTGGATTACCTGAATGGGCCCTGGGTACACATTGCGGGGGATTTAACTGCTATAAGCTTCTGCTTTAGAGGCTTTGGAGTTGTTTCCTTCTTGCTTTTTATGCCCTAAAGAGCACTTGACTTAAAACTACAGAAACATATTATTATTTTGTTCAGACTTTCTACGTTAGAAAGTCTACAATGAAGCATTTTCATTGAGCTAACTTTAAGCTCTTGTAAAACAAAGACTTGCGCTGTTGGCATTTTTTAAATCGCACTTTTCAAAAATAGCTCAATTACACAATTAAACTGCCAGACCTGTCATTTTATTACAGACATGACATAACAGTTCAGTAAATGTTACAGACACCATAATACAAACTGAATACAAAACACAGCTGCTGACTAAACTGTCACTAATTCAAACAGTTATTTTGTATCTTTCAAGGCAATATTTCAACATTTTGAGAAATATTTGTGTTATTGTTCTATTCCTAATTTTGGGGCCAAGAGTAAGATGCAATACCACTATCATCTTCACCAGCTTTTTCCAAAGGTACAAAAAAGGGCTGGTTTTACAGGGTTTTTGTTCCAGACTATTTTTCTGGACGGACGCAGTTCTCTTCCTGGAATCTCCAATGGTTCTTTAGAGACCTCAAGATGACAACAAGTCTAGGGATTGTTGCTGATGAGCTAGTTCATCAGAATTTAAAGGTAGGGTAGGTAAGTTTGAGAAACCGGCTCGAGATCGTTAGAATTTGAAAATACACAACCGGAGAAAATCTGCCACTTCCTTACAGAGCCCATCCTCCAACACACACGTACGCGCACATGACCAATGAAGGCACGAGATAAGTTTGTGCACAGATGGAAGGCTGACAGGCAGGTAGGCCATCCAGTTATTTTAGCATTCCATGGAATATAACAAAAAGTGTATCTCAAGCCGGTTTCTCAAACTTACCTACCCCACCTTTAATACCCCTTTCACACCAACGCAACTCCGGTTCAAGCTCCGTGCTAGAGCTTTTCAGGTTCGGAACCGGTACTTCGGTTTAGCTCCGGCTCTTTTCACACCGCAGAGACCGACTGGTGCTGCCGCTGCTGCGTCATGACGTCACAGTTTACGTCGCTGATTTTCTCCCCAACGGAGCTCACCTCACAACAACAACGGGCCGGGGACTGCGTTGCTTTTAATCATACGAAGCCAGATTAAATTAAATAACGACTTCTCCAACCTTATACTTTTCTCCAGAGTGCCGTGGTTCATTGTTTATTAATGTGTTTCAGCGGCATTTACCGACCGCTGCAGTGCTGGCCGGCTGCTCTTCCACGAGTGTATTCTCCCGTTAGCTCCGGGTTAGCTCACACGGCTCTAAAGTATTCACTGTCTGACTGTCACACAAGCAGCTGATACATATCCCCAGTTCCCCTTAAGTGAATGTGTGTCAGTCTGAATTGACGCTGTTTGGCATCACAACGCTGTTATGAAAGTTTCTCTGGTATAACATGGGTGATGTTAACATAGCAACCGAAGCTAAACTGACTACTTGCTAAGCCGTTTTTTACAGGCACTTTTTACCGACGTATTTTTCATTATGATTCTACTTGTGATAGTCGGACATGACAACCTGTGCAGCCCATGTATTGATTCCATCCGATAGCTGCTATAATAACAAACAAAACGTCTGCCTGCTCTCCACAATGACCAATAACAGCGAACGGATGGTCAAAGTAAGGTACAAATAAACAGAATCACACGAAGCCTGGTTAGTGTTGCCTGACTTTATAAAGCGTGTTTTTTTTTTACAAGTGTGTGGTTGCGTTCTAGTCACTTTGCTCAGCACTACTGCTGGTTACAACTTTTATTTGCCGTACTCGCCTTAACTGTTATCTCAGGTTAATCTCGCCCCCCTCCGACGTAAGCGTGATGTATGCGGTTCTTGCTTCTACACGGACAACTTTTTGGTGCTCGAAACGAACCGGATTCCGGAGCTTAGAGGCTGCTCCGCTGCGGTGTGAACAGGAAAACCCTGTGCTTTTCAAGCAGCCCGGCCCCGAAACACCGTTGGTCTGAATGGGGTATTAGTTGAAAACTATTTCTAAATTACACCATAACTTTTCAGAGACTCAGTGGAATGAAACCGTTGGGTTGATTTGCTGTTAATTAGATTGTATGTCTGCTGGGATAAACTGGGTGCCAAACCCAAAGATAATTACAAGACTCTTATCCTTCAAAGGGCACCATTTCTTGCTTTCAGTTTAGCCAACTTGGACCCCCGGCAAGCAGAATCTGCCTGGTAGTAGTTGTAGTACTCCTCACTGCATTAACCTAAATCAAATTTCATGTTTGCTGGATGACTGGATCAGACCTTGACTAAACAACTGTTATTCTTATACAACTTAATTTCAGTAATAAAGTTGGACCATCCCGATTGTCCCTGTTGTCATCCCAATAACTCAAACAACAGTTAGCGAGTTTGTTGTACAATCAAACACTGATGTGATAGTTAAAGAATGACTTCATAACTCTGGTAACTTTCTTACAGCTAGGGAATGAAATTAGACCATCATGTGTTGTAAAGCTCTCCAGCTGATCAGTCCCTGATCAAACAATTGACTCTTGATCATATTATTATTTTATATTTTTAGATCATATGTGTTTAAGAAAGCTGTTGGTTTGGCTTAATCATGTTCTGGTGGTGATATCCTTGCTGACTTTCTTATGCAATGACTTTTCCCGATTGCTTCATGGTCTCTTTTGCCAGTAGTTTGTGACTCAGACAGTCGTTATTGCCCGTCAGGAGCCAAAACGTTCTCCTATCAGAGTGGCTTTATTTATAACTAAGATCACCATCCAGTAATGACACTTTCGGTGATTTGCTGAATTGCCACATATTGTCTATACTGTGCCAGCCCTTGGACTATTTAGAACAGGGGTGTCAAACTCAATTTCATCGCGGGCCACATTCGCATAAAGGTTGCACTCAAAGGGCCGGTTGTAACTATATGAATATATAATATATATATAAAATAATGTATTATATTAAATTATTGCCTGTGAATTGGATTATTATCGGATAGGATAATAACTTAGTAATTAACTACGTCTGAAAGCAGAAGTCCAGGGCAAATAATTGCAAGTCTCTTCAGTGTGCATGTCACAAAATGAGATGCATTGTGGGACATGTAGTTTATGGGCAACCTGCTTCTGTAAAGTGGCAAGCTCTTGCTGGGCCACATAAAATGAAGTCGCGGGCCGGATTTGGCCCCCGGGCCTTGAGTTTGAGTCCCCTGATTTAGAACGACGAACGCTTCCTCAACATATTTGGTTACCAAATGGTTCACATTTGACACTAACAAACGGTCCTGTTCAGCTGTTTAGGTAATTAACATCCTAAATTCAGCCCAAGCTCATATATAAGAACACTTATTTCTCATCACGGACCAATATGGTAGAAGATCTGTGCCTGAACAGAGTTTGTGTATTTCAAATTATCTCCAGCCCAAAACACCATATAAGGAGTTTTTGTAATAAAACGTCATTCTTGTTTGTATTCAGAGAAATGGGTGCTGTTCCCTATAGGGCCCCAAAAGATCTGAGGGATCACAAATTGAAAACAAAAAAGGGTAAAAAATATAGATCGGATTTCTTTTTTTTCCTCATGAAATATGGCTACATTTACCACTCGAAAATGATTGTGACTCAGAAGAAGAAACTTTAAAGTTAAATTCACTATATTGCTCACGTGAGTTATCGTTGTGCTATAACGTGGAATGAGAAGTTGCACCTTGTTTTTAAGGTTCACAAAACAAAAAGTGTTGGGAACTACTGCCGTAAACTCAGTGTCAGATTCAGTGCAGCATAGGGCATGGTGCATTTCCCAATGTCTGATAACCATCTCCCCCTGGCACCAACGCCAGTTATATAATTGTCCTTCTAGTCACTTTTAAATAGCCGATTGCAGCTTGGTGGACGGTCCTCAAACATTAAGGACGGATCTTCACACGCCATAATTCAGGCTTTATTGTGTCCGCTGCACTTGATGAATTCATGTCTTTGACATTTGCAAGCATTAAGTTCTAAGGTTAAGTCAACATCAGTAAGCCATTAAACAGTTTTCTGTTGCTTTAACCTGTTGCGTTAAGTGCCAAGTTTATTATTAGACAGTGGCCTAATGTTTTTCTTGCACTGCCCAGAGATAATCAACTTTAGTCCGAAGCAACTGCGAGCATTAACTTTCATCCTCCTCTGTCTAAATAAATTAAACTGAACTAAATGTAAAGGATTTTTCTACTCATGGTCACAGATGTTAAAACTGCAAATACAATATTTGTAACATAATGATTATTTTAATTAGTTAAGCTCATCAAAGGGATCATCTAGTAATGCATGGTTCACTACCATAACTTACATAATGCTGTTGAATAGATCCTCTTCATGTCATTGCAATGCTTTGCCATTTCACACAGGTCACAGTCACCTTCCCAGTGTATGAACAATCCATTTTTATCGCTTCCTTTTATCTGTGCACTGTACTCTGGAAGGTTGTGCTATTACTGTCAACACCATTGTTTATGAAAGATTTTTCAGGTCACCCCTGTACATGATGACGTACAGTAGATGTACTCCAGGAAAAGCTTAACTGACGTCTGTTAGTTTGAGAAAGCTGTATATTGTTGGGGAGTAAAGAGGCCGATAGGTGCAAAATTGACACAAGGAAGTATCAGGAAAATGTAGTTCTTCAATGGAGAAAGTCTTTATTTAGAGGCACGTTGCACTAAAAGGAGTGCTAAGACGTTGAATGTTACAGGGACTGTGAGAAATGCAAGGCAGATCCCATTTTAAACATAGAAAACGTAACTCTTTATTTCTTAGATTCTATGCCTAAAGTGTTGTGTTCTTCATACTATGTACACTTTGAGTTTTTATTGATTATACATTTCGCAAAAAAATCACCTTGCTTACATTATTGCAACATATCCTAATATATTAAATCTTATCCACTGTATCACCCTCCTGTAAGTATCGCCATATATATACACAGCTCTTATGGTAGCTCTTCAATAACAAACTAAAATGTTAAGATCAAATGTTGAAATGCAATTCAAGTTGAAGATATTAGGTATAAGCATACCCCTCTACACATTATCTAACCACCCATAATTTGCTTCGTATTTCTCCACTTGGCTTTTTGTTAAAAGTATCAAGAGTACTGACCATATACGCTATTGTTAGACTTACCGGTAGTCATAGAAGCCGGTCACTTTGCTCTCAGAGGACCTACTTATGCTCTGAACACAGCTGAAGTTAACACTCACTCATGCACACTAGATGCCTTGATCACCTAGGGCCAGAACCAGAGCCTGGGGGATTTTCTCCGTTGCTCAGTGACCTGTTGTGACCACCTGTTTCTGTAGCTCACCTTCCCCTCTTGTTTTTCTTTCAGTAACCATCGCTCTCCTGTCTACTGCAGACCAGATGTGGTGAAGTAAGTCAACTTAATAATTGTTGTTGTCTTGTAAATAACTAATTAATTCATTTATGATTGTAAAACTTTGATTGGACAATAAGGTTTCAATTTATTAACCATTTTATTTGTTGTTGTCTCGGTCCTTCAGTATTCTGGACAGGACAATCCGTTCAGCAGTGGAGCAGCACCTCTTCAATGTTCACCCTGTAGAGGGTCAAAGTTCAGAGGGCAGCGAGTTAACGTGTCCATCGTCTCCAAGGGAGACACCGACTGCCCGTCAGAGACGTCGACACCAGAGAGAGCAGCAGGAGGAGGGGCTGAGACATAAAGAGAGAAACAGGTACACTATGTCCATCATCGTTCACGTTGGTAGCTGATGGTACCAGCGTTGGATTAGTTGCGGTTTGTCTTTGGTAGCAACACGGCAATGTTCTTTTTTCAATGTTAATCAAAGTCACATTTCCCTTGATTTGAGTGCAGACAATTATTTCTTATGACTATATAACATACACTAGTACATTTTAAATTGTCTTATTTTGCAGATATATATATATATATATATATATATTAGGGCTGTGCAATTAATCGTATTTTAATCGCAATTACAATTTTGGCCTGCCACAATTACGAAAACAACATAATCGAAAAAAACAATTATTTTGCTTTGCTAGGTTGTGACAGTGCACTATATTTGATCAGTGCAACATATTTGATCTAATTTATTTGTATTTATCATATTTATATATGTTTAGTAGCTTGTTGAAGTGCGCTCCAAAATATTTGTTGATCTTGTTTATTGGTATTTATTATTTTGATATTATTTATTTAAATGTATCATTTATTTTATTTATTTTTGTATTGGTTTATCAGTTGAATTATACGTTCAGGGTAATCAACAGTTAAAAAGACACTGTTCAAATTATTATTTGTATTTGTTTTAAAGTTCAATAAATGGATGTTTTCAACGTCAATGAATAATCGTATTTAATAATCGTGATATCAATTATTGACCAAAATAATTGTAATTATGATTTTTGCCATAATCGCACAGCCCTAAGATATATACTGTGTGTATGTGTGTATATGTGTGTATGTGTATATATATATATATACATTTGAAACGTGCATATTTTCAATGGCTTGTGGTTTCTCCCTGTGGGTTTAATATTAAGGATTTTAATATCTACTATTTATTTGTATACATTTATTTTACAAGTTTTATTGAGGGTCTATTTTAGATTTGTCCACATGCCATTCATTGCAAATTGATGTCGTTTTTTATGGCTTTTGTTAATGTTATTGCTCACTATTGTGCCATTCGCTTAAGTTGGACAACAAGTGATATAGCAATTACAGGGCAAGACACCAAATCCTACCATAAATAAAAGGTTGAGAACAGGTTTAAATATTGGTATTGCAACAGAAAACTCTAAGATGAATATTTGTAATATTGATGTGCCGGTAAAGCACAATAATATGCCAGACTTAAAGCTGCTCTCAGTGACTGGCTGCTGTACTACTACTTCCAGTCGGTGTTTTTGGTAAACATTTGTTACGGTTTCATTCTGCGGTAAGTTCCTCCACTGAGACATAGCACAGTCATAACAACTGGAGTCATTGCAGTAAGAGACCACTAATCCTTGTTGATGGAGAAGTCTGAGGAATCAGTGAGGCATGGATTAGAGCAATGCATTTGTCCGAGGACGTCATAAAAAGTAAATAAGAGCCTGGTCTGTAACTTGACAGTAAATAGAAAGCTAAACAGCACATGTTAATTAGTAATCAGTATGACGATGGCATTTATTTTCTGGAAGCATTTCACCCGATGTCAAGCTGATAAAGACAGACCAAAGTGTGCAACAGAGAGAGTGAGATGGAAAGCAGATGTCTCATTTCCTAACTGACTTCTATTCTGTCTGAGAGCAGAGCAGCGTCCAGCCAAGCAGACAAGGAGAACATCCCGTCGAGCGCAGGGAGCAGCACTGGCAGCGTGAGTGAGGACACGGGCAGCAGAGTGAACTCACAGGGAGGCCAGGGCGCTCACGCCGAGCGAACCCCAAAACCCAGGAAGTGGAAACACAGCCCGACCCTGGTGCAGCTCACAGACAACCAGGACGCCCAAGAAGTGAGTCATCACAGGCAGCATCTCTCTTTTTGTGTTGCTTTAATCTTTTCTCCCACTATTGGAGGTCAGTCTTAGGTGTAGGTCATTAGACAACCATAGGAAAGCACATTTCTTTCAGTGGTTTGAAGCGATATCATGGCCACTTTAGATTGTATTGTAGATTGCAAATGTTACGCACCACCAACAGTAAACAGGATTCTCAGTCATAACGTTGATCATCACCACCATAGATCTTCTCCTGAAATCCACCTGTGTTGCATATTGGTTGATGAAGCATTCGGGTCAACCTCCCTTTCTGCCTCATTTCTGACTAATTTCAAATAATTGTTGGTTGCCGTCAACAAGAATTGCTAAATGCGGACAGCGGCGAGTTGGAAGATGACAGGAAGCACGATGCAGCTGCGTAATGGGACCCTGCCATTCCCATTGTACAGCGCCATGTAATTTGCAGCATCAATTGTCAACCACTTTTTCCAGAAGCAGTGCAGATGTAATGGCCGTTTTATGAGAGCACAATTTGCCCTAGCTTTTATCCACCAAAGAAAATGGGCAATTTCTCAACTGTTGTCATGCGGATGATAAAGAAAACAATGTTGAGTGCTCAGTATTTTTATATATAGGGGAAATAATAGAGATTGAGTTACTTTGGAAACCATCCTGTAGAAGCTTCTGCTAGGGTTACAAGATACTTATCAACAGGTAGAGATGTTGCTCTACCGTTTGCTCTAACATCAAGTTGTATTAAATTAATTGTAGCCGATAAGAAAAGGTATACAGATTTAAATTATTTGTAACATGATTTGTTAAACAACAGACCATACCATCAGGATATTTAGTCTATGAAGAGTTTCTGAATTTAATTTTAATTACATACATATAAAAATTGCAAATTAAAATAACTAAAACTTATTATTTATTTTGGACCTTTCTGAAATGTCTCCTTCACACAGAATATCAACTGGTGCAGTCTTAACCCATCCTTGTATCTATCTCATGCTGTCCCAGCATCCAGGTCACTGTAGGATCAGATAATAAAACACTTGCTCAGCTCTCTCGCCTGCATACCCAGATGCAGTGAGTCAGACCCTACAGTGGTGTCATACAGTCATTAAAAGGAGTGTGTGAAAGCAGTCAAAGGGTGTGAAACATGTAGCTTCAGTAACACGACCCTCTGTCCGCGGACTCTTCTGACACTGCAGCTGAATGAAAGCAAGTGGGACTATTATTCCCACTTGGTTCCTGAATGAAGTGTGCTAATGTAAAGTTCAGCTGACTGATGTAAACAGATCAATTCAGTTTACACTCTCACGCTCAACTGCAACCCCATGCCTTTACATAAGAGTACAGACACTCGATGCCTTGACACACTTATGGTCTATATGCAGGAGCTCCAACAATTGTGATTGGTTGGGTGACTGTGGCGTTGAGTTGCTGACAGCAGAGGTTTGATGTTATTGAGGGTCTGAGTATCTGTCGGTGTGAACAGCTGTCTCTGAATGTAAGCTTGTTAGGTCAAGAGCCACTGAGGGTAAGGAGCTCTGCAAGCATCACAGGTGCTTCTCTGGTGCTGTGCCGTGTACAGAAACACTGCACCAAACAATGAATACAGTATGTTTAGTTCCATTTGATTTATTTTTTTCGGTGAATAAAATTAACAAAAATCCCAAAGTTCCCTCAATAGGGAGTTTCTCTCCCACACACCCCCCCCCCCCCCCCTGCCTGAAACGCCTCCATTGTAGTCCTTTGTTTACTTCTGCAACATAGTGACATCACTATGAAACACTTGCGCTTCTATTGGCTAGTGCTCAAACACTTTGAGCGTGATAGGCTAAAGGGCGGGACACCTCAAAGCTGTGAAAAGAGTTGCTGCAGTGTGAGCAAGATAAAGCACAGTTAGGGCTGCATGATATATTGTGTCGTGATGATAATCGCAATATGCGCATGTGCGATATTCACATCGCAGGACGTGCGATTTTTCTTTTTAGGACGTGCGATATTAAGTAGGCAAATTAACTCAAACACGTCATGTTACAATTATTTTGCTGCTTGCTACAAAAGGAAAACTCGCGCGGCTCTCATGTCAGGGTTACTTGAGTGAGTGACAGCAAACCACCAATCACAATCAAATCTCCAAAGCAAACGGACGGTGATTAAAGGTAAAAACACTGAATAAAGTAGTTTCATGTGTTTCTCCAGGGCAGTTCGGCGCTGCTAACCGAGCTAGCTCAGCTTGTTGCTCTGATAACTTAAGATCCAGACGTCCGTGACTAAAATCCTTCATCCGGTTAAATATAGTTAGAAAAATACCAATTGTATAGCATTCAAGTTCAAGAAAGGATGGTTTGCGGACAAAAAAAACTGTCTTTTCTTCAATTCCTGTATTTTTTCATATCGCAATATATATCACAGGCGGGGAAAAATCGCAATATCAGTTTTTACCAATATCGTGCAGCCCTAAGCACAGTGTCACAGTAGAGGCACACAATTCAAATATGAACCTAAAAATGTGCCTAATATGTCCTCTTTAAATAGTTTGTAAGCCTGTGTTTTTGAAAAATGCTCTGATTATTATAAATTACAGCATGCTGTCAAGACTTACGGTATTTTAACAAAAAGAACCTCAAAACATTTCTAAGAAAGGTTTAAAGATGATAATCCAAAAAGCTTCATGAAAGAAATCAACATGGGTTTTTATCGGATATGCTGTAGATAGTTAATTACATTACATTACATTTAGCTGACGCTTTTATCCAAAGCGACTTACAATAAGTGCATTCGACCAAGAAGATACAAACTTGAAGAAAACAGAATCATATAAGTACATCATATCAGGTTTCATAGAGCCAAACCATTTCAAGTGCTACTCAACTGGCTTTAGATAAGCCAGTCCTTTTATTAGTATATAAGTGCTTTGTTAGTAATTTTATTGCTCGAAGTGGAGTCGAAAGAGATGAGTTTTTAGTCTGCGCCGGAAGATGTGTAAGCTTTCTGCTGTCCTGATTTCAATGGGGAGCTCATTCCACCATTTTGGAGCCAGGATAGCAAACCAACGTGTTTTAGCTGATGGGAACTTGGGTCCCCCTCGCAGTGCGGGTGCAGCGAGCCGTTTGGCTGATGCAGAGCAGAGTGCACGTGCTGGGGTGTATGGTTTAACCATGTCCTGGATGTAGGAAGGGCCAGATCCATTCACAGCATGGTACCAGTGTCTTGAAGTGGATTCTAGCAGTTACTGGAAGCCAGTGAAGGGAGCGGAGGAGCAGTGTGGTGTGGGAACATTTTGGAAATGAATGTTTGAATATGTGCACGTCCTTTTCCAGTTCATGGAATGTGTTGGCGAGAGACCCGGAGAAAACCACATGGAGACATTTCCTGAAGGGTGAGCTATTTAAAACTTTATATTGATCTTTTGAGGGACTATAAAGTCAACACCTGCTGAATCCTCTTTTCCCACCATCTTTTCCGAGTGATAAGCTACTGGCGGCCATTAGCAGCTCTGTCTGTTATGTTAAGCAATCTGTTAGGCATACTGAGAGGTTTATAGCATACACTTTATCTTATAAACACAGGCAGCAAAGATACACATGTAAGATAAACTATCTGGAGTTGATTTACAATAAGCTGGTGTGATCACTCAAAGCTTCTTTCCCTTTTGATTTTTCAGCTATGACATTTCAAGGAAAGATGTCCTTTCTTCTCCAAAGGTAGGTTCACATTTCCTTTCCTACGAGCCTCCCTCTGTCTGTTGGGTTGCCTTTTAGCTCTACTCATTATTTTACTTATACACCATTGTATTGGATGTCTGTGAAAGAAAAGGAACGGCTTGATATTGAATCTCAATATTTGTTGTATTGTTTGTCAGCAGCATCAAGTTTCAAAAACTGCCAAGTTCCAAATGCGTCAGATGCTTGCTCAAACTTGTTTCGTTTTTTAAACAGTTCCTGATTCAGATGATAATTTCGCAAGTTTTAGACTGTGCTGTTTGGGCTCAGTTCTGCTTTTAGTTAGTCCACATCAAACATTAGAAAGTTTGAGCTTCTTTAATAGAGAACATTGAAACTAACGCTCCTTCAAATATGAAGAATTTTCTTTTTGCACTGAAATGCAGTTATCATGTCTACAAAATAAACTAACACCTTGTACAGTAGGATGCGTAAAAAATAGATCAATTAAAATAAAACAAGAATAACAATTCTGTGCAGTTGCAGTTCATTGCCTGGTACATATGAATATTCCTTAACTAAACAGAAAAGCAGTGACAAACAAGCATGATAAGCTCTTATTACTAATCTTTGTTTGACCGGTGTGATATTAACCTTCACAGCAGTTGTGTCTCTCTTACTAATCCTTGTTCGATGACACTATCACATCTGATTTGTTGAACTGAACCTTTATTCCAGTTCACAGAAACATACGATTTCACTTTTTACAAAGGGAGATTTTAGAAAATCAGGAATTCCCCCACTGTTGTTCTTACACAAACATACAGCCGTTCCTCAGCCAGCTGTTCAAAATGTTGTGTTGCTGTCAGTGTGATTTAAAAAGAAAAATTCACAATTCTTAATCTGATCATCTCCAGTCCTAATGTTGTCGAGGACCCCTGAACAGAATCATGCAGCGTTGCTTTTCGAAGCAGCCCAGATGGATTTGAGTAGCAGCTCAGGCTGCAGCTCTGCCACCTCGCCACCCTGTGCCACAGAGCGGCCATCTGGAACTCGGTTAACACCTAAACAAGCAGGCCAAAAAAGTTCCTTAGTAACATGGAAAGACAAAACTGCACAATTCTCATGATTTCCTCAAATTTCCTTTTTATCTATTCAAGGATTACTGCTTACGTAGTGTAGTGTAGTGTAGTGTAGTGTAGTGTAGTGTAGTGTAGTGTAGTGTACAGTGTAGGGCTGCTCAATTAATCGTATTTTAATCGCAATTACACTTATGGCTTGCAACGATTGCGAAAACAACGTAATCGAAATAAAACGATTATTCTTTTATTATAAAAAAAAAAAATTCAAATACATTTTTTTTTTATTGGTTTTTCAGTTGAATTATACTTACAGTTCAGGGTAATCAACTGTTAAAAACATACTGTTCACATTTTTTTCTCCAATGAATTGATGTTTTCAAAGTAAATGGATAATCGTTTTTAATAATCGTGATATCAATTATTGACCCAAATAATCGAGATTATGATTTTTGCCATAATCGAGCAGCCCTAGTACAGTGTATAGCTGCTGTTCATTTGATCTTTTGGTCATCTGGCGTAAATGGTGAATCCTGTTATTTCGTGTTGCTTTACAAATTAGTAGATCAACAGCAAATTTAAATATTTTATTTTGTATTTATTATTTAATCATAATAAAATGTAATCAAAACATTTGTTGCAGCATCTTCTCAAATGTAAGATGCTGCTGCTTTTCTATCTTTTATTTTAGTGCCAATTGCATGTTCTGCCTGTAAACTATTTTCTGACGTTTTTTAAAAGAAACAATCAATAACTTACAAAAACAATCAAAACAAGAGATTTATTTTGAGCTGTTAAATATTATTTCATATTTACAAATATTTCAGGACAAACACTTTAGTTCTGAAACACATCTCAGTGTGTTGGTGTATTACGTGTCTTAGTATGTCGCTTTAGATCCGGCAGTGGCTCAGTCAGTATAGGGCTTGGACTGTGAGCCGCAGGGTCGCCGGTTCAAGTCCCCGAACAGACCTAAATATGGGCCGTTTCTCAATGTCTAGTACACCTGCTGCAGAGCCACTATTTCAAGTATACTTCTTCATCGAGTGGCGCCGAAGAACTGTTTAAATGCATGTTAAATGCCCAGCATCAAATTCGGCGCCACTCGATGACGTAGTATACTTGAAATAGTGGCTCTGCAGCAGGTATACTCGACATTGAGAAACGGCCATGGAGTGTGGACTGCTACTTGGAGAGGTCCCAGTTCACCTCCTGCCCTGCCGTGGTGCCCTTGAGCAAGGCACCGGATTTTATTAAACCTTTTACGCAATGGGATTTTTTTTGTTGGAGAGCAAAAAGAATGCAATGCTATCAGGCAGGGAGTTTATCTCAAGCGAAATTGTGTGTGGGTGTGTGTGTGTGTGTGTGTGTGGGGGTGTGTGTGTGTGTGGGGGTGTGTGTGGGTGTGTGTGTAGGTGTGTTTGTTTGTACACTGTGTGTGTCGGCTCTCAAAACACAGCTTAATCATTGTCTAATGCACCCCCCCTGCACACACACACACACACACACACAGAAGCTCTGTCTATCTCACCCCTCCTTTGCACCAGCTGGACATCTCATGATGATGTAATAGTAGTTTGAGTGTGTTTCAGTAACAGATGAGGGTCCTGGGAATAGAGTGCAGCTGTGTGTGTGTGTGTGTGTGTACGTGCGTGCGAGCACGTACATCTGAATTATTTTCAAACACAGCAGGATCACGCTGTGCTGTAACTTCTGCACTCTGTTAATCCCCAGTGTTAGTCAGAGCATCTTGAAGTGGGTTAACATGATACTCTCTCTATTGATGCCTGATTCTAGGGACTGATTAATCAGTTAAAACAAACTGCCCATCAAGTCTTTAAAATATGCATGTCTTTAATTAGTAATTTGCATATAAAAGGATTTGATAACAAAAGTGCATCTTGCTGAAGAAACGTTTGTCCCCTTTGAAGTCTGAGAAGCAGTTGTTAAATCATGTGACGAGATGTTATTCAGTATCAGCATCTCTCACCTCTGAGACTCATAACATTACATAACACTCACCCAGTAGACTCTTCTGTTTCAAAGCCTAATGAGTCCATACTTTAATTGGCTGATTTTAGCACTTGACAAGGAGTCCCTCAGAGTGAACTACTTAACAAGCAACGAGTTTAGAACAAAGCAAACACTAGCGGCTGATAAACAAGTTGTTCTTTCATCATAAACGTTATCATCAAGACAAAACTTGACAACAGACTGACATAATGTTAATGTTTCTTTAAATATCTGTGAATCTGCATCCGCAACATTGTCAATATGAACCGCTCATGATTCATTATAGAAAATGCCCTAATTAGCATAAAAGCAATTACTTTAAACACATATTTTGTACTGGGTAGCCTATAACTACTTGTGGTGCCATCCAGAGTTTCATCCAACATTTGAATAGTTGAGATTAGGGTCAACCCCCCACATGGATACCAGTGCTATAAACTCTTTCATAAAACCCCCTCTCTTAAATCTATACAACCAGAAAGGATGTACACTAATAAGCAAGTCTGTAATCAGACCAACAATGCAACAAAAGAAAAAGGTTCTTTGCAGGCAACCTAAATAATATTGACAAAAAATCAAAGACAAAACAAATCAATAAAGGATTAGAAATCCCCTTTCTACTTGAGCGGGATGGTTCTTTATTGATCTTGGAAATGGGGGTTTAAAAGAAAATGATAACACCGGAAGAAAACACAAACCCATTCACAAAAGTATGATAATAATATCAACATCTTAAAATACTTATGTTTAAAAATAGAGAAACGGCTTAAAACACAATAACCGTTGTGGACAAATCCAGCAACCGAACATTTATTAAAAAAGGGGCAAAGGACATCAGTTGAGTAGGTAGTCCTTCAATGTTGCCCTAGACACATTCATGTAAACAATGTTAAAATATTGTAGCCATAGAGCACAAACCACTCATGAGTGTGGTCTGAGTGACTGAAGCTTTCTACTTGTAAGCCGATCACAAAGAAACTTGTTATTGCCTGGTCTGAATCTGAAACAGGTGAACATCAATGTCTAAATGTTAGTTGAGGAATATGTGCTCGTAGATCTGTGACAACAGGATCTTGAATGTTGATTGAGTGAGCTGGTGCAGTATGTACTAATTCATGGAGGCGGTGGGGTTTAGATTGGTGAGTGACGTAAAAGCTACTTACGGGAAATTTCCAGTGTTGCACGTTCTCCGGGCCGTAATGCCACTCTGTGTCCTCTGCGATTTACCAGCACATGAAGTTATTTCTCATGTAACAGCTGAAGGGACGCGATAAATCACTGTTTTTGGCTCGCTTCCGCACACACACACACACACACACACACACACACACACACACACACACACACACACACACACACACACACACACACACACACACACACACACACACACACACACACACACACACACACACACACACACACATAGACCTGCAACTAATTATGCTTCCACTGTAATCTCACATTAACCTGCCAACAACAACAACAACAACAACAACAACAACTTAGTATCATTAACAAAACAAGAGCTTTTGTAACGAGATTCAAGTGCAACCCTTCCTGTAAAGTCGCCTGTGGCATTAATGATGTCGAGGAGCCCCTGTGTCTTGATCTGTCTTTTCCTAAAAATAGCTTGGTCCCACGCCCAGACACAGGAAATGGGACCCCATGGGCTTAGTGCTAAGTGAACCATGGGCACGTTCTAAAAACATGAGCCGCTGAGTATGTTGTTTCCCCAAATCATTTACATTGCATTACAGTTTTATTACACATCTTTTAACGGAGGAAAATCAAAGTGTAGTGTACTATTTAATGTCTATATATATTTATGTTGCATTGTTGGAGGAGCCTGGGACTTAACTTTGTCTTTGCCATGTCTACACTGTGGCTACTGTGCATATGACAATAAATCCTTTGAATATTTGAGAAAGTTTGAGATAGAAGCAGATAGAGGAGAAGAAGGGGGTTGTTGGGGAAACAGTGGGAGAAAAAAGGGGAAGTAATGAGGTGTCGGAGGAGACGGCATGTTTCATGTCTGCTAAGAGCTGGATGTTTGTCTGCAGAGAGACTTATAGAGAGAGAAGAAAAACCACCCGTCAGCCTACGTGTGCATGCTCACGATCTGTTTGTTTTTTTATGTTCTCACCTCCGACCCTTCCTCCCTCCCTCCCTTTCTTTTTCACTAACACCCATCCACCCCTCCCTTCTGGTCTTGCTGCTGTGAAACAAACATGTCCAGAGCAGCGCTAGGGTGGGGAATATATGCATGTCAGGCAAGAGAGAAAGCACGGAGGACTACTGTGGAGAGGGAAAAATAAGAGAGGGAACAAGTAAGGGAGGGGTGAGGTATTCCAGTTGGGGGTAAGACTGGGAGGAGCCAATCCACTGCTGTCTCTACACACAGCCTGAGACAGATGGGCGGATGTTTTGACAGCAGAGGCAGCCAATCAGGAGCCGGGAGCAGCCCCTCTCTTAGGGCAGGGCCAGCCTGTGGGAGTGTGCTGCTCAACTTAAAGAGTGTGTTCACAGGCTCCGCATGTCGTTGAGCGCTCTTTTCTTGTTCTCTCATGGTTGTGCAGACGTTAAGGATGAAGATCCAGGAGTCGCCCGTCACTTGTGACACGGGAAGGGTCGGCGGGGGAGAGGTGCGAGCCTCTGACCCGGACTGCGAGAGCTGCGAGGACGTACCCCGGCTGGACCTGACATCACTCACTGAAGAAAACAACTGGGGAGGTAAAGCTATGGGCTTTCAAACTGCTGGTTTAATGCTTAGGTTGTTCTCTTGCATGCAACACTTTGTCTCTAAATACTATCTGGTATACACGCCTTTTCACACAAACATGCTTAAAGAAATGTGCTACATGCCCTCCTCCCAGCACTGCGCACAGGGGGTCTGGGCAGCAGCTGCACACCTCCTCCTCCTTCTGATGCATCCCTTTCTGCGTCTACTGCTGGGTTTAATTGAAAAAGATCCTCTTAAGTTCTCTAGCCACTTATATCTGGCAGAGAAACACTGACTGGAGACGTGCTTGTTTGCCTGCCTGGTTAGAGAAGCAGCTCTGCAGACAGTCTGTTGTTTTGTTGCCTTTAAATTAGGCCACATGGGTTTAAGTTTAGAGCTCGTCCTGTGTTTTTCTTTTACCAGGATATAAATGATACTATGCAATTCCTGTAAGACTCAGCTGCTGCTGTAGTTCCCAGTCAGAAATTAATCATTAAATTGGAGTTGGATATTTGATAACACTGTACCAGTAGGAAGTTGGCTTGCATTCATAGCGTTTATTGATCGGGGTTATATTTTTCAGATTGGTGCTCCAGTCAGGTTATAATGACATTGTGACTGTTCGCTCTGTTATTCCAGCAATAGTGGTGGGGATGTACATGTAATGGCAGCTTTGCAAAAGATCCAATTTGAAATGCGTTTAAACAAGTATGTCGAATATTTTCAATTAAGCTTGTGTGCTTTTTTTTATGCAGAGTTTCCTATATATTAGTCTTCAGCATTGCATTATTCCTCCTCCTCTAAAGTTCTTCTGTAGGTGTTTGTTTACTCAGCGGGCTTGGTGTTTGTGCAGAAAGGAAATCATGCACAATCGCAGGGCACTGACAGTGTGATTGGTTTGTTCGGACGTTGCGACACAGCGGAGATGGGTGGAGGTATCTGAGCAGTGAAAGCAAAGCATTTTGTTGAACTGTACACTACAATGATAATCAATAGGTTGACTTCTGCTGTTACATCCAGTTAAGGGGCGTGTTGGGTCATGTTTTGACATGTTTCCATTGTAAATGTGGGTCTTCACTCCCACCACCACCATTTCCTGGTTTATGTGGCACTTAAGAACAAAACTGTTCCATACAATAGATCTCTCAACTTCAACAGCCTCGTGTTTGGAGCTCTCTAGTGGCCATATGTGTAATCGGAAAAACAACTGTGAGGGGTTGTTATTGTTGCTGTGCAGAATTTCAGCACGAGGAAAAACATTTCAAGAACTTAAATATTGTGCCTCAGCCAAGATGTTGCTTTAGTCTGTATAAAGGTGTGGTGTTAGTTTTCTCTCATTTGCTGTCTCTGATTGTGTTTGCTTGTCTTTGAAATGCAATTTGCTTGAGGGAGAATGTAGCAGAGGATAGTTTTGTACAGTTTGTTTAGGAAGTGTACAATGCAGATTGCTGTTTTTCACAACTAAGAATACATTAACTATAAGATCACCTGCCTGTTGTGTTTTTTCTTCTTAATACATTTTCTTCAAGTACATTCTGTCCTTATGAATAAATGAGTTCATGGCAGCGAGTGCGCCACAGGGAGCCGCATGATTGGCTGTGACAGGCCGCTTAAATCTTACAGTGTCTCCTTTAGGTACGTGAGAGTCAAACTGATCAGGTCCCTTGACGCATGAGAGCAGGCAAGGCAGGCCATTGCACAAACAATTGTCTAAATGCTGTGTGCAAAGTTTAAATTGTGAGGTTTTTTTCGGTGTAGCTGTCATGTTTATTCTTCACGAAGCAGTGCCAAAAGAGGGATTTATGTTCCGGCGAAACTAGCCAAGCTGAATAAGCATTTGATAAAGCTGCATAATGGTAGCAAGCACTGTTTGGGGATGTGTGCATATTATACAGAAGCTGTAATACTGTACAAATGGGCTTGCCAGCGGATGAGGGCATTAGGCCTTTTGTCCCAGTACACTTTGTGCCAGTTCCCGACCTAGAGACCTGATAGTTGCCACTGCCGTGTCCTTGGTCGTCTGCCAGCAAGGATGGAAAGACATTAACGGGCATCTTCAACAGGAAGAGACAAGACTCTGTAGCTCATATGTCTGGTGAACTAAGATTCAGGGACAGGCTTGTTACTTTGATTTCCCAAACGCACTGCAGCAAGAAGGATGCATGCTGGTCATTTCCTACTTCTGTTTCTTTGCTTGCGCTTCTTCATCTTGTTCTTTACTTCTCTCCTCCCTTCTTCTCTTCTTCTGTCCTCTAGGTTCTCCATTCTTTAACGCTCCTTTCCTTGATTTCAAAACCATTTTTCATCAGAGTTGTTGTGATGGTAAGTGTTATGTAACATCACCGTCAGTACTATACTGTCTGAGTGACCTTTTCTACTGCATGGCAACATGCTTGAATGATCTGGAACATTGTGGCCAAATGTCTTACACACACACACACACACACACACACACACACAGACAGACACACAGCAACCTTTAGTGAAATGGCAAACTGGCATGTCGTTTGTTTCATTAGTGTAGTTAATCCTAAACCATCAGCGAGCGGTTGATTTAAAGGATTCATTTCAAATGCCATGCGGCCTCAGTGGCCGGCTGAACTGCTCTGCTAGATAATAGATGTCAAAGAGGAGGACATTCAGTATTATTTAGTGTTTCACCTGCTGCTGTGAGCGGGCGCTAACATGCAACAGAGTTACTACTTGATAAACTGCACGTACCTAAAACTACAGGAGGACCCGCGGGACCAGAGCTGGAATTTGAGCTAAGTCCAAATCGTACGGCCCAACTTACCCCGGCTAAGAAAAATATGCTTGTGCCGTTTTTGACTGGGCGTTCATATTTTCACGTGTGCTTTCTGACACTTTGAGTGTTTACTCTGACAGTTGGTTTCCTTCAGAGCTTGTTTTCTCTCCCTCCATCTCATCTCCCTGTGAACAACTCATATATTTCAAATCTCCTGATGTTACAGGTCTCGCCTTTTCCATGAAGTCTATGTTTTTGTTCCTGCTGAGTTTCATGTTTTCACTGAGTTTCTATAGAGATTTCCCTCCTTACTATAACAGTTGACTCTGAGATGTCTCTGTCTAGTCTTGTTCTCATGCTTGAACACTTACCAGGTTTATCTCTCACCATGCAGAGTGGAAACTAAAACTCATCACTGGAACTCTCTACAGGGGTCGCGCCCTGACATTATCCCACAGAGAGCCAGGCATTATTTATAGACCGGGAATTGTCAGGGGTATCTGCATGGCTATTTTCAACCAACATAATTATTACCAGAGGGGTGACTGTGAACCAGGGGACTAACAGTAAGAGGGAGGGAGGGGGAGGGGGGTGTTCTCTCCCCAAGTTGCAAAACAACATCTGTGACTGTCGAGCCCCATAGGAAGTTTTCTGTTCGGGGTAGAGAGAGAATCTTCATCATGTCCAGTGACTTTTACATCGCCTGAGAACATCCCAGAAACATTAGCAGTGAGAGAAATAAAATTAAGTATTTGAAGAGAATACGTGCTGATCTCTGGGAAATTAGCACATTGTTGGACTTTCTTAGAACACTTTTACCATATTGTATTTAACTTGCTCTAAAAAATACTGGTTTCATTTTTATACCCCCAATTATTATCTGTTACAAAATAATTTCAAACATTTCCTGACTTCAGCTTCTCAGTTTTTCTTCTTGATAAAAGACAGTAAATAACTTCCGATTCTCCACTCTTGGTCAGCCAATAATCTCCCATTTAATTTAACAGCCATTCAAAATAACTTATCTATTCAGATTTGTTTGTTGTTGACGCTCAACCTTTTGAATTAGAATATTTTAATGTAAAGTTTTTAACTGTTTAAAAATGATAAACGATATGATAGGATTCTGGTTCAATACGCAGATCGCAGAAGCTACAGCGCTCGTTGGGGTGATATGATGAGTCAGCTTTAACTGTACTAAGACAAGCTTTCTGTCTGTCTGCTGGCAAGCATGCATCACATTAAAAACATCCCTGACTAACCTGTCCTTAGTTTGCATGGTGTTAAAAACAAAATGTTTGTTTCTGTGTTTCTCAGAACCAGTCCCAGCATACCCTCCTCTGCAAAGGGAGAGCATGGACCGTGAGGAAGCTCGACTGTCCCCTCACGCCGGGGGACGTCTGATCCGGCAGCTCCTGGAGGAGGACAGCGACCCGATGCTGTCGCCGCGCTTCTACGCCTACGGACACAGCCAGCAGTACCTGGACGACACAGAAGTGCCTCCCTCACCACCCAACGCACACTCATTTGTCAGGTAAACACTTCACCTCTTTTCAAATGTTTTTTATGACGAGCAGTAAGGAGCTGTCGGTGAAATTAACAACACTTTTGTATTTCTCCAGTCGCAGACGGAGTTCCTCTCTTGGCTCCTGCGACGATGATAAAGAGGAGTTGACGTCCGCCCAGCTCTCAAAAAGGATCCACGTGCTGCGGAAGAAGATCCACAGATTTGATGAGAAGTTTGAAGACGAAAGAAAATATAGGGTAGGTACAGGAGTGATATTAATTTCATTTATCACATTGAAAACAATAACATCTGACCCATAATAAATGTTTACGAGTCATAAACACTTTTATTGAATGTCTCTTATGAATCATTAAATTGATTATAAATAAGTTATGAACAGAGAATAAAGGACTGCCTCATTTTTTTTTAAAGGCTAATTGGTTCATAAAAAGGCTGATACTCCCACACAGAGCTCTACATGTTGATTAACAGCAATCATTATAGGTGCTGCTGATTAATTGTGCAAATCTGTTTTAATTTGTTGGGCGCTTTTTGTATCCAGCCCTCCCACAGTGATAAAGCCGGAAACCCAGAGGTGCTGCGATGGCTTAATGAACTGGCCAAGCTTCGCAAAGAGCTGAAAGGTAACACAGAGGAATGGAAAACACTCCTGAACACACACGTTGGAATAAAACCAAGAAAGCTCATTGAAATGTATTTCCTCTTACTTCAACAGAGAGCAAGCTGATGAAGTCTGAAGAGGACCTTCCACCTCTGACCCGGCAGCGCAGCAACACCCTGCCCAAAAGCTTCGGCTCTCAGCTGGAGAAGAAGCCGCAGCAGGAGAAAGTACCGAAGCCTCCCGTGGAGAGCAGCCTGGAGACCATTTTGAAGAAGCTGCAGGAGAAGAGGGAGGAGGTGAACCGCCCTGAGGACATCAAGGTAAGACCAAGTCCGCGGCGGATAAATAAAACACACATATACAGCTAATGGATGTGTCTTGTAAGAAAATCAAAATACTTTTAAAATCAGGCAGACACAGAGTTAACCCCGGTCTCTTATTAAAATGTTTTGATGTTTCACAGGATATGACACGGGAGCAGATCGGAGCGGAGAAAGTCGCCCTGCAGAAAGCGCTCCTCTACTACGAGAGCATACACGGCCGACCAGTAAGTCTTCCTTCCAATACACACACACACACACACACACACACACACACACACACACACACACACACACACACACACACACACGCACACGCACTTTATATAAATACAGCAATCCTCAAAAGGCCAATCCAAGCTGTAGTTCAGATCTCCTGCCAGCCATGTTGGCCCAAAACTGAGAGAATCTTGTTTACCACTTCACTGTGACCCAGATTGCCAGTCAACGGTGAATAATGTCTGAAGCCAGAGCGTGTGCAAATGGTGAGCTTGGAGCTTCAATTTATGTTGTTAGAAATTCTGACGCCACAGGAGCTTCGGAGTCATTTAGGGGACAACTATGTCTGAAAAAGTGAACTATAGAGGAGCTGACAGGCACTTTTTTCGTTGTCAGTCCCAAATACAATTGCAATAATTGAGCTGTCTAACCCCTGCTAGCATGGTCGTGTATCAGGCAGAGCTGAAGAGTAGTTAACCGGTCTGGGTTAGCTGTCATTGTGTGTTAGTGAGTGCTGTATGATAGGGATGTATTGAATAACTTTTCACATTTGAAGTGTCTTTTTCAAATTATTTCTGAATGAAGCTTCAAATCTCTGTTTTCATATTTTCAGACACACTTTTAATAATATAAATAAATAAAAGTACATCTTTGACCACCCTGGAAATGTTGTTTTTAAAAGGCCAACAAATATGGATTGAATACCAACATTTCCCTAGAAAAAACATGTTGTGAGTTTTTTTTTTATTGGACTTTTGGACCTAACAACGTTCGGAAGTTGTTTGGAAATATTTGGATCATACCAGTAGGAAACAACCCTGCGCAGCCACCACTCTAATCTAATCCTGCAAATGGTATAATACTAATAATATTAGTGTAGCCTTAATCTTTATCTGCAACTGTGCGGATGTACCGGGTTTTAACTGAATTAATGACGTGCAAAAATACTGCGCAGCATTTGAATGTTGATGTGATATTTGAATTTTAATATGATCAAGTATCCGGTAAAGCCCTATAGTGCTGCAGCAAGTTACTCAGAGGAAGACCGAAAGAAGTGAATGATACGCTAACAAGGTGTCTTTGTTTCCGTCCTTTTTTTTTACTTCAGGTCACCAAGAGCGAGAGGCAAATCATGAAGCCCCTGTACGACAGATACCGCCTGGTGAAGCAGATCCTGTGCCGAGCCTCCAGCATCCCCGTCATTGTAAGTTCCACACCTGAGCCTCCCTTCCTTTTATTTTTCCTCCACAGCTGTCCATTCGTCCAGCTGCTCTTTGACCAGCGAGTGGCCCACGTTGACAAAGCGTCTGCAGACACTTAATCCCAGCTCATGTTGGCATTAGTGCCTGTTGTGTGGGAACTGGTGGCAGTCGTGCCACAGACGTGTTATCCACCTTTCTAAATCCAGCTTAAAAAGCTCAATGAATCCCCCCTGGTCGTAAAGCAGCTCATAGGTGGCAGATTGAGTTCACAGGAAAAGGCATCATGAGCATCTGAGTGCAGCAGAGGGTCAGAGACTAGAGAAACTTTACTGGGATGTGGGGACTTGTTTGCTCAGAAGTACTGCACAGTATATGCATACAAGTGTATACGCTTCCTCTTGCTATCATTTGTGTACTCAATTTTTTAAGAAAACATTTCTATTATGTAAGAAATTATCTCTATTTATCTGTTATGTAATGCTCAACCTGTAATCCCAATTATGCAAATCGGGACAACTGCCAGAGACTTATGATGCAGCAATTTTATTATCCTAGAGCCATTTGTTTCTAGCTTTAACTCCAAAACAAACTTCCATTTCGACCCCTTTTTTATTCCTCCAAAAGATCAAAACAATTTGATTACAGGCATGATTCTGGTTGATTTTGAAAGGTGGCTCTGAAGTTACTCAAACAGGTTAAAAACGTTTGTTTGTTTCCATATTTATTTTTCTGCTGGTTTACTTTACTGCTCTATTTCGTATTCTCAGTTTCCCAAAAAATAAGCACCCATTTTTAATATTTGGTTTTCAAAGGGTTTAAACAGAGAGAGTTGTGAGGCTCTAGATGATGGCTCATATTCAGGCTGTTGTTTGTCAGTTTTAATTAGAATAAAGTTAGGTTTTCAAAATAAATGTCATGTGGGCCTCTTAAGGAAAACAAGGTGGTGTTACGATGGAAAAAAGAAGGAAAAATTCCACAGGTTTAGACAGAGAATGAGGTGAAAGGTGAAGGCAGTGTGGCGTTTCCTCGCGGCCTTGCTGTAAACACAGCATGGTTAACGCCTCCTTCTCAACCGTCACCACAGGGCTCTCCCTCCAGCAAGCGCAGAGGGCCGCTCCTTCAGCCCATTATCGAGGGCGAAACAGCGCTCTTCTTCGATGACATCAAGGTGAAGAGCTGCTGCTTGAACAATCAGTCGCCAGCTCCCCTCCCTCCCCCCATTTAACTCCCGTCATCCCCTCTAATGAACGTGATTGCTGCCTGTTGATTGGGCGGCTGCCTGTTTCCAGCTCCAGTAGAGACGTTGAATCAGTAGCTGCCTGGATTTGATGTTAGAACCGCTCTGTGATTTGTATAGCAGTACGTGTTGTACTCTAAAGGATATGTCTGGTTTATTACAACCTTATTTTGTATTTATTGTTCATTTGTAATACTTATAATATTATTGTATTATTCTAAGTTAATTGCTAAGATCTAGTTACACACAGTGATTAAAAAGGTGTAGAAGTGTAGAAAACATTAATGTTTATAGTAACATTTAGTGTTGATACATTTTTTTATATTTTTGGTTTAGGTAGAAAGTACTTCCCTTTAATTTGTTTTCTTCAAAAGCTGTGTAAACGCTGTCATCTCAGTTATGACTTAAATAAATAAAGCAACAATAATAAGACCCAGGTTGTAATAAAGCAGAATGCATCATGTTAGTTACATTTTGAGAACAAACTGTAATCAAGAACTAAACCATTGTGCTCCGTGTATTTTTCAGGCTGTAGTTGTTTCAGGACTTGTAGCTCACATGAAGTCGGTTCTTGGTGATCTGTGTTCTCTAGTTGACTGCCTCTACTAACTCCATCCGAACACACTAATGGGTATAGACATGAATCACAAACGAGGTCCGTGGGAGTGCACTGGGCTGCTGCACCGTCATGATTGATTTCCCTTGGGGACTAACACTGCACGACCCTCATGCACTGCGGTGTTTGAGCCTGGATGCTTCGCTTTTAACGCCACAGCACGATGTGGCCTCGTCACCCTCAGGCCACAGTTTGACCTCTTTGTGTTTCTGCAGGAGGAGGAGGACGGCTCAGAGGACGACGGGGACTCCAAGACGCAGTTCACCGTCACCGTCCGGCCAGACCTCAGCGTGCTCGGCTTCCTGGACCACATGGAGGAGGAAGCAGACGGTTTCATCTCACCTGTGGACGACCTGTCACCCTCGAAGAACACGACAGACATGAGGCTGTCCAACCTGCACTCCGCCACCATGTAAGTCACTGAAAACTGAGAAGACTATTCTCACATGTCACATTACATCACAGACCAACATTCTGAATTTAAGAAAAACATTTAGGAACTTTTATTTCAATATGTGCTAGTTTATTTTTCTTCCTCTATACATTTCAAAAGGAACATTTTTTTACATATTTATTTGACGGCTGAAGATATGAGATTTTACAGATAACCATATAAAATACATTACAATGTCACAGACTAAAATAAATAATATGTAAGTAAGATCACTAATACTGATGGAACATACGTGAAGCTATATAAATGTAAATATGGCTTCACCTTGTGCTCCCCCATGGAATAAACATTGCATCCATATTGTTGCATCACTATTATCAATCTTATAATTACTAATAATAATATGTCATTTAAAGGCATTTTACCTCAAGAGTGTGTACTTTTTTTTATCTCCAAAAAGTAATTTTTTAAGGATCTGAGTTCTTCATCCACCACTACATAATAAAACATTTAAAGGTGGGGTATGTAATTCACTTCAGAAACACTTTTTGTTATATTCCATGGAATGCTCTTAACATCCCGATAGCAATGAATACATTAAATGCTTTGACAATAAATACATAAAGAAATTTCATCTGTGGAAGCTGTAAAAAGCACGACCAATCATCTGAGCCGGCCCGGCTAAAATAACTGGATGGCCTACCTGCCTGTCAGCCTTCCATCTGTGCACAAACTTATCTCGTGCCCTCATTGGTCATGTGTGCGTTCGTGTGTGTTGGAGGAGGGGCTCTGTAAGGAAGTCTGAAGGAAGGGGCAGATTTTTTCCGGTTGTGTAGTTTCAAATTCTAGCGCACTCGAGCTGGTTTCTCCATTCTTACCTACCCTACCTTTAAGTCCATATAAATATTGTAGAGCAAAATATTAAAACTATTTCCACTCTCACAGGGAAGAACTCGTGGTGCAACTCCAAGAGAGCCGGGAGGAGAAGAAAAGACTCCGCAAGAACCTGAAAGAGTTTGAGGACCAGTTTTTTAGGCAAAATGGAAGGTAAAGAAAATAAAAACAGAGAGAATCAACATTCACATTTAATTGGTTTTCCACCGCTGAACCTTCTCCAATTCTCAATGTTTGTTGTCTTGTTCCCATAGAGTCGCGCAGAAGGAGGACCGTTCCCCGCTGGCAGTCGAGTACAACGAATACAAACACGTCAAAGCCAAACTGCGGCTGCTGGAAGTCCTCATCAGCAAAGGAGGATCTACTAAATCAATCTGAGACAAAAAAAATTAAAAGACTCTATGGACTTCAGAGATACAGTCAAACACATCTCACCCTGTAGGAACAAATATCAGATTTTCCTTCTCGCTACCGCCTGTTTTTCCATTCAGTCGAGCTCATGCTGGGTTTTCTTCGGGAGCCTGCAGAGAGCCGCTGAATCGTGACTGATTCAAAGCGACACAAAGTCACCTGAGAAGTTCCTTTTCGACAAAAAACCCTCACCTTTATAAGAGCGAGGACATTTCTCAAACACACACAAAAAACCTGAATCACAGTTTTATAGCTAGTAATTTATTTCTATCCTTTTAAATGTTTTCATCACAGAAACAGAAAAAGTTATTTTTCTCACACTTTACTGTAGATGTCTTAAAAAATATAGATATAAAAAGTATTGCTATTTTTTAAAGAAGGATTTTTGTGATCAAGATGTATGTGTATTTTTGTAAGGGAGATGTTACTATTTGTATAACTTCAATCAGCTTAAGAGTATTCACTAAATGGATAGCTTTCTCTATTTCAGTTCTGACCATCGTATAATGTCTGAAATAATCTTATGTTACTTCTCTAGAAGTTAAATTGAATATTTGTTCACTATAAGAAGTGTTTTTAATATAAATACAACCCAAAGACAGTGACTCAGAGTACAAACTGCAAACCAAAACGGCTCATATTCATTAAAACAGCTTATGTTGTGATCACTGGTACTTCGGCATTGGACTGTATATTTTATGAATTGACATGCCTTTTCCCCCCCCATCTACTTCCTGTCAAATAAGCTATTTCTCTTATTGAAATCACTGGTATGTTTTTGCTCACATTGATAAAACATTGACAAATGTTTGTGAGAAGGCTTTGGAGGAAAAAAACAGCAGCAGTCTGTTTTCTTCTCGTCCAGCTTGGAGCTCGTTGGTTCTTTTTGTAAATATAGATCACCTGTGTATGTTTACGTTTCTGTGAGCAAGTACATTTTTCCTTTCTTTCTCCAAAATGGATGATTTGTCAGTGCGAATTTCGTTTTTACTGAATGTAAACACTGGCCAAGACTTAATGAATTTTGAGTGTGTACATTTTAGTACATAAATTGTTATTGTGTTTTGTATATATAATATGAATGAAATCAAATTTTTACTGAGTTTTTGGACTGTGTTGATTTATTTTGTGTGAGGAAGTGAAGAAGAATTATCATATGCACAGAACATAACCGTTTTAGGTAAGGAAAGTAGTATTTTTCCAATTATTTTATTCATTAAGCAACCTATATTTTGTTTTAGAAAATGGCAAATGTGCCAAATCATTTTCAGTTTACAATGATATAGGATAGCGAAAACAGGAAATCCTCACATTAAAGAGGCTGCAATTGGGCTTGAAGAATTATTTAAACCATTAATCAGTGATTTAATATAAATTATTTATTTGTTGGGGATCAAATTATTACCTAAACTTAATACAGTTTATAAATGGACACATTTTAGAAGCAGCAAATAGGACAACATCAGGATGTTAATTTGAATTGTATTTAGTTATGGGAATGAGGAAGATTAAACCAAAAGTAAATACAATAAACTAAGCTAATGTTAATGTCCAATAATGCAATCATGAGACACTGAATTGTTTTATTGAAAAGGTTTGCTGGAACAGTTATTCGTAGATTTCAAACAAATCAAAAAATCACATTTTCTAAGCACATTAAAAGGTACAAAAAAAGTAAAGGGCTGCACAAACCTTTGCATAGGACTAAACTGCAGAAGAAAAAGCTTCAATGCATCAAATTCTGAATTAATATGTGGAACGTATAGCCTATGTTCATGCAGTATAGAGCAAAGCAGAAAGATAAACTGTTCTAAGAAAACATCTCAGAAAAGTCCAGTTTTTTTCTTTTAGAAGAATAGCCCAGAGTTATAATCACTACATTACTGAACTGTTTCAGGTTGTTATTGCTGAACGGTTACACGAGTGTCAATTAATTTACTGCAGTCACTTTGACACCACTGTCATGTATGAAATATATAAAAAATATACGTATATATGCAAGACCATTTCACACACATCACCCCAATGCATCACCTTATTAAACATCAGTTTGTAATAAGAGGTTTGACTGTAGGATTAAATATAGCATCAGGGCAAGTTTAGTATGACATGAAGGATACAGTTTATCAGTTTACTCTAGTCTAAAGTATTTAATAGGTCATCTGCCCACACTGTCAAATATAGTGTCATCCAGCCGCAAATGTCACAATTGTAGTATCTGCAACTTGGAAACAAACTAATTACAATTATTAATTTTAATGATTATATATTTAGTACTAAAATGAAATTTTAGGACATCAATTATGCACTTTCTGGTTGAGAGTTAGCTTAGCTTAGTAAGCTAAATATGAAAACACAGATAGCAGCCGGTTAGCTTAGCCCAGCAAACACCCGGAAATCGGTAGACAGCTACTCTGGATTTGTCAAAATGTGACATTATCGAAAGAAAGAAAAACACGAAAAAATCACCAATTAAAATGTCAAATAGCAAGGGCTAGGTACCTGGCTACTATTAGCACCGAGCTGTTGCCAAGCAACCACAAGCGGCTACTCTAGCTGCCCTAGTGATAGAGTTAGACTATTTGCTAGAGTCTAGCAAATAGTCTAACTCTGTATCACTAGGGATGAATATATTTAATATATCAAACTATGTTCTGAATTACTTTATTTAAATACTTAAGTCGTATAAAGTAATGTAACAAACTAAATATGCTATTATTATATATGCGGCCTAGTTTGAATTTATCCCAATCTGGTCATGGGTCTCACAGGTAACAACAGTTCCAGCTGAGAAATATCCAGGTAAATTACATAACTCGATGTAAAACAGAAGATTATATTTTTTAGCACGCTGTTTTTTGTGTGGAATAAACAAACGAGATATGAGGTGTTGATATATGCGCTTTTTGTAGGCTTTGGGGTTGCTAGTAGGTGGGTTTTGTTACGGTTGGGGAGAGCTAAGCTAGGCTAGTTAGCTGTTTCACCTCCTCTCCAATCTTTGTTCGAAGCTAAGCTAACCGGCTGCTAGTTGTTACCATATGTTTAACAAGAACATGTTGTAAATCTGTAATTGCCCACCAGAAGGCAAACATTTTCCGAAATGTCAAACTTTTTATCAGGTTCTGCTTTCACTCAAGAACATGCACACAGACAACAACCACTAAAAAAAAATAACTCCGCTTTGTCATATAGGTTTTTGCTGTAGAAGGCAACACTGTTGAATGCAGGTTCAAAGTCAGCTGCTCTGTGATCCACAGCTCAAAACAAACGAGGAATTGCAAATAATATTCACCATCCAGCATCTTTCTGCCTGCTTAAGACTCTCACATTGTACTTCTTAAATGTCAGGCAGAGAAGACATGCTGGTGTCCCCATTTGAAAGGATAAGCGGGACAAACACTGCTCCCAATGTCAAGGGTAAAGATTATATTCAAAGTACTATTTACATACATACAGTTTATATTTTGTCGAAAAATAACCATTCTATTTATTAAATTAAAAGTAACAAAAAGCAGATATAGTTTCTCAAGTTAAAACAATTATTTAAAGGTAGAAAATATAATTTAAGTAGTTGTATATAAAATACACAGCTGTGCAAAAAAAAGAGACAAAAATAAAACTATGCACGTAAAGTTTTTCAACCCTCTCTGGCCTTTGGTCTCAATGTTTTATGATCCCTGTATGTCGTATGATTTATAAGTATATCATCTTTACTTAAAGGGGACCTATCATGCTAAATGCACTTTTTGATGTCTTTTATACATAAATATGTGTCCCTGGTGTGTCGGGGAACTCGCGCAGCGTCAGAAAATAAAACCCTCTCTCTTTTCCTCCGTACCCAAATCTCTAAAAACGGGGCTACAACGGAGCTGATCCAGATTTGCGTCCCATATGACGTAATATCGGAAATGTGGACCCACGGCACTATCAGAAAGTTGCTATCAGAAACAATGCCCGACTGTTTTGGACGTAATATGGTCGGTGTTTACATTAGCATCGCTAACACTCAGAGCTAACCTGTACTGGAGAGCATGTGTGTGAAGAAGCAGGAAATAAAAAGGAACTCACCTTGTGGTATAACCGGCAAGAGAGAAAGCCTTTGAGCTCCATACTGTTTCAGAAATAATCCTTGATAATCCATGATATGGCGTTTCATCACGGCAGAATTTAGTTTAGACAGTAGCTGCCGGGTCCCGCATGATCTCAGACCCCTCCTTTTTTATTTTGTATACATTTTTTATTTTTTTAAAGCTTTATACCCAAAATCAGCACTTTTGAAACAGGAAGTGAAATAGAGGGATATGAGGCATGGCTAGAACGGGTGATCTGTTTGGTATTTTTTATATATCTGAGACCTATGCTATTGCCTAAAAATAGCATGATAGGTGCACTTTAAGGAATGACAAACGCATTTTAAATATCTTCCAAATGGCCATAAAAGGTTGAGAGACTTTGCCCAAAGCAATAAAAACAATAATACTTGCATTTACATATATAGACCTTTCAGATTCAAGATCTTTAATTAACAATTTTGTGAAAGCATATAAAGAAAGTGAACTTCTTCTGTTTCCGATGTCCCCCATTACACTGACATGGGGGTCATATTGCTGTTAAAGTGCATCAAAGCTGCTGCAGGTCTCCCCCTCCTCAGACCAGACTGAAGCCCTCGTACTGCTCCACAGCCCGGGTCAGGCGGCGGTGCAGGATCTCTTTGGTCTGGTAGCGGGGCATGTCCAGCAGGTTGTAGCAGGTGTGGGCGACCGGCAGGTAGTGCTCCTCCGCTGTGGTCGACTGGATCACGATGCGCATGCTCTCCATGCCGTGGATGGGGATACGGTCGCTGCCCGTCAGGAACACTGCAGGCAGGACATAGAGGGCAGAGTTGCAAAAAAAACTGCTTGAGCAGGCTGATAATGTTTTGAACCGTCCCATATGCCAATATATATGGTACCTGGATGCATTTATATAATGCTTGTAAACAAAGTAAAGTATTATAATTTAACCCATGACAGCCTGATACCATGCAATGTGTTGGTTTGACCTTAAACACTAAATGGGTTAATTTTCTTGCTCATGGACAGTTTGACATGGAGTAACTAGGATAAAACCTCTATCCTTTACAAGATCTCTCTTCCTTCTCTAAGGCTAATGGTTGCAAAAACAACGTGGGAAAGTTGCTTATTTGCTTTTCCACCTTGTGACACACAGGATTGATTTACCACAGAGATCTTGAAATGATTGTCAACATGTTAAGGCTTTTTGTCGAAGCCAAATGTTTGTGTAGGTAATATATTGTCATGCACGAGGAACAAAATTCACACACAGTATTCATAAGTTGTCTGAGAGAGAGAGTGTGAGTATTAAACTGTCATGCACATTGAGCAATGCGGCGTTTGAATACTTACATAAGAACTGCTTCTTCTGCTCCAGAGGGAACTCGTGGAAAACTTCCCAGAACAATCTGACTGTTGGATGGGTGGCTGTGTATTCCCCTTTGTACACAGCATTCTGCGAAGAGAACAGATTTCAACCAAATTTAGAATTTTTGCCTTGAATTATCTATATAACAATAACAATCACTCTTAGGTTTCCTGGTATGTCATTTCTGCTGTAGGACATTAACTCAGAGCAGAGTGACTCATTGTTACTACAAAATTATACGTATAGCTCTTCAAAACCACACACTGACCTTCTCCATCTCTTCCCAGTTGTAGTTGTTGTTGCCGACCACCATGGCCATCAGCTCAGAGGGCTGGAACAGCGACAGGATCTCCCCGCCGCACACCTTCAGGAAGCCTGAAGAGAAGGCTGCATACTCGTCGCTCACCGAGTCCGAGAACACGTAGCGCAGGTAGGCCTCCACAAACTCTTTCCTGAAAAACACACAACCACACACACGTTAAGTAAACATTTAGATGTATTAAATTGTTCCTCGCAGCAGCTGCATCCTCAAATATTAGTTTATAAGGAAAGAGTCAGACGTCAAGGTTGTAAACACTCACTTCCTTCTTTTGTGTGTGGGTGAAAGTATGTCAGTTCTTCTCTAAATACAAGAATCAAAGCATCAGTGAGGTGTTAGAGCAAGTAAACAAACATTAAATAT